CTCCCAACATAAACCGACCTACAATACCTATTGTTTACGTTTTGTGTACTGCACTTTGTTCTTCGGTTTATAATAGAATGTACTAATTTGTATTATCACAGTCATTATCTGACCTATGACATTCAATCAGCTTGTTTATAACTTTAAAGGAGCCTGGACTATTTCACTCTGTTCATTTGTATTAAGGTGAGTGGTCCGTACTCCGTAAATACTCAGTACTAACCTTGTATGCATTATTGCATTGTTCGCTCATGATAACTATGAAGATGAAAAATATCCTTGACATATATAACATATAATGATTCTGAATCTCAAGACACTATATGGATAATGACAGATATCTGTAATCAACGAATAAAATGATAACACAGCTTTAACATCTGTTTAATGAGATATAAGATTTTCGCGAGTATTCATTTAAATGAAACTAATATTTTTCGGATGTACTACGCGATTTTTATTCTTGATTATAAACAACATACTCCCGACGTTTCGGTTATTTTACAGCAACCGTGATCTCAGGCAGACGAGATTTATTAGTTAGACGAAAAATATTAGTTTCATTTATCTGTTTATTACTTAAACAATATAATGCAGGGAATAATTCAATTCTAATATTATCGTATGCGTTATTATAATTAAACACCATGAAATATAACGCGTTACGAATCGCTTATGGCTTTATAATAAAATTATAAGCGAAATTGTAAACAGCCGTGGGAAATGTAGCAGGCTGTGGTGTGATTTAATGAAAATGATCTTGTACATATTACACGAACTTGTTTTAATACATGTATATAAAATCTAATAAAGTATAAATATACGATATATATTTATCATATATTTCTTATATAATATATAAATATCAGCCGCACGTCGTTTCCACAAAAGCTATAACTCCAAACTGAAATTTTATTATTCGCCTACTTTGATTTACGCTCTCCCCGAGTCCCTTGAACGAAACATCCTTTTGTTTAAGACGGACAAGTTTTTCTAAAGACCTTTTGTCTTATAGTTTCTTTGAAATTTTATTTGGCCCTAAAATAAATATTGGACGTTAACAGATCCCCACGTTTTGTTTGACGATATTGAGAATACGTTTTGTTCTCAGATAATACGAGTGTAATATAAATATCCTAAATAGTTGGGCCCATAAACAGAAAAGTCATTATTGTTTCGGTAACGGTAACTCAATACTTATATTTCAATGTTAAAATATATTTTCTAAGAAAGTTATTAATAATATAAAAGCATAATAATTTTCTGAGTCCATTTCATGTTGTAAAGATGAGCAATAAGATCGATCAATTCATTAAGGATGTTCGTGAAATGTTTTACGAGCCGCCGACGTGCTGAGCCAATGACACCGTACATGTGACTAATGGTTCTGTAATTGTTCATAAACAACGACCTAATATACAATCATATAACACGTATGACAAAATAACATATAATATAGCTATATCATTGTTAAATCTCACGTTTTTCGCCGATATAACCGTAACGGTTTCACTTGCGACATCCTTACTGTAGTTCGATACGTACGTACTGTAAGTAACGCGTTTCCTTTTAATATAATATCGATAACAAAGCCGACTGACTATCTTGACCGTAGTGCGGTAGATGGCGCATGAACTTAAATGAAAAGACTTGGGAGAATTAAACATGGTCTAACATTAATAGTTTTAGATGATTAAAATAAAAAAGTTAATATACTGAATTATTAGGAAGAAATAATTTAGTTGTAATCTTCATAAATATGTTTGTAAATAATATTTGTCAGTGACAGTACCCGCGGCGGGAGAGGAAAGCGTCGGTCGAGTATTTCGGTCCATGGCCGGCGCTGTAGGTCGGCGAATGCAAGGCCTCCTGTTGCAATAATGCAGTTGCACTGAAGTTACCTAGCCGCCTATTTATATTAGAATGTTAGACTTCAAACTCACAACAACCAGCTTTGTACATTACACATTGAATAACTACCTCCGAGCCGTTCCTTTGTTGTAGCTAAATAGTTTTAAGATTAGTGAATTGTCGATAACTTACATAATGTATATAATAAAACGTATAATTTATATGAAACAGATGTTTATTTTGAATTGTAAAATGTATATATTTGAATACAGATAAATAATGTATACCCAGCCTTCCATTAATAAACCTATCGAAAGTAAAAACTCCGTCGGAACATCTATCTAAGGATAAACATGTAAAACTTCTCATTATCATTAAAAACAAGATCTCCGTAATGGTATGACATTCACGTATAAGCTTTTCGCGTGCGACCATAAAAGTAGCAGATTACATTCCATACTCCATAGCCTTTCATTAAAGTTTGCATTGAATGCTGTATCGACCCCTACTTAGAACTGACGACATACATACTATTAAAGTTTACCGTCAACTTATAAACCTTATCTGTATGAAGATAACTGTGTTGAACAAAACAGACTCAGTGTATAATTAGCGAGACATCCAGTATACCCCGATAATAGATCTCACACTATTAAAAATTCGACTTCCACTAGAACACGCCGATAAATCTTTGTCATTGTAATTTATAGTGATTTTCGTGCACCCGGGAACAGCGGGCGGTGACTTAATTAGGCTCCGTCCAGACTGATCAGATTAAATGTTTGCTTTGACCCTATTGGAGATCAATTAGCCCTGGAATCTTTTATTAGAGACAACACGAGCTACAAGCAGCAGTTACGGTTCACTACCTTACACTAAATATATTGTCTGCACCGAGCTAAAATCATTATAATTATATTAGGAACATACAATAATGTATTCACTCTAAAATGTTATTTACTTTGTGTATATATTATATGCATTAATATCATTGATATATATCTCTGTTACAACACGAACTAATCATGCAGCGGTTGTTATAACCACACAAATTGGTTGCTTGTGTTACTGTTTTAAGTGCTGACCCAAATTGTTATTTGTTTACTCGTTCGAGTGACCATCTCGACTTACACTATCACCTACCACTTGGACGAGAATCGACGATAAATAACAAACCGGCATTATCCCTTACTAAAGAAACTCACACCAATAATTATTATTTACTACTAGTTTTTCCCCGCGACTTCGTCCGCTTTAGTTTGGTCAAGAGTAATATATGTAGCTATAGCTGACCAGGCGAACTCTATTCCGTCTTACAGGCCATAAATAATCAGGTTTTTCCTGTTTCAATCAAACAGAATGATTGACATATTAGTTAGTTGTCAAATCTAATGTCAAAAAAAAACGTTTGTATGGGAAATAGAAAAGGGCTGTCTTTAGGGTTTTCCCGGCAATTATTCAAATTTTTCTCACCTTTTAACCTTCCCTGGACTTCCAGGAGTATTTCAAGACTAAAATTAGCCAAACCGGTTTAGCCGTTCTCGAGTTTTAGCGAGACTAAGGAACAGCAATCCATTTTTATATATATAGAAGATTATTATGTATTGTTACAGCTTTATTATTGTTTGTTATAACTAAGGCTACGTTTAAAACTTAAACATTAAAAAGCCTCGCGTCGTCGCCTCGTCACAGTTCGTTGTGTTCCACAATTATATTTCATAGTTAGTACACGCCGCGATTACTTTGTAACTTAATTATTGCCATAAAAATATATATTCCATCACAGGGAACATACTTAAAATTCTAATTTATAGTTTAAAATAAAGATTTTATATGGCGCAAGTAAATAATATTTGTAATAGATGAAATTACGATATTATGATTCATAGCCATCGTCGTAGTAGGCTTGGAAATTAGGAATAGGTACCTAGAACATTTATAGACGTGTTTATATAGTGTGCTATAAATTATGTAATTTTAACGACACAAGTAACTTGTTGATCGCAATTGGTTGGTGATCATTGCCCTTTTAGTGGTTTAAGTTTGTAGGCGTGGGTACAGAGCCTTCGATTACAGAATACTGTGGGTTCGATGAGATTCGACTTTGATTTGACTGAGAATTGATTCATGAAATAAAAGTATTTTAGTGTGATATAAATAGAAACGAAAATACAAATTGGTAATAATATTAAAAATTCTATTTTGGTGTTATGAATATATTATAAGTTTAGTCAAACTAGAATGTTATATCATGAATTAAATTATTTTTTGCATATACGTGGATATAAAATGATAATACTATAACGTGTATTAACAAGGTAATACTGAACAAATATTATACCGAAAATCTAAACAATGAAAGATTTAATTTTAAACAGTCCGCCGAAGTGATATCGGCCGACACTTTGAGTTCTAGTTAACAAACAGCGGTTAAGATCAACAAAGGATATTGAAATGTTCACCTCAGTCCATTCCCGCTTGCGAAACACCATTTTATGCAACTTCGCCCACCGAATCCGATCCACTCAACAAGAGCCACGATACTCTCTCAAACTGCACCGGCGCCTCGAGAACTAATAGCTCCATCTCGACTGGCCTCGTAACTTGGTCGAGCAATAAAGGAAAATCTGCGCCTCGAGATTTACTTCCCGCGGTGTTTAACTGTTGTTGAAATTGTGTTTGTTTACATTCTACTAACTATCGAACCCTTTTATTTACAAACATTATCACTTTCGGTTGGACGACTCCTTTCATATATTATGGCTATGGTACATATTTCTCGAGGTGTTCGCGCCGGTCGTTTCCTGTGTATCGTTATCAGTATTAAGTAAATTGTATAATTATAATAAAAGGCAACAATGTGCGGGGTGTATCCGCGTAGGGTCCGAGGCGGGTCGTCGGTCACCGCACTATAGTGACGCGCTCGGGCGACGGCGATGCTTATCCAGGGACAATTAAAACGTATCGTGATTGGGGACCTGTTGCGTCTCCCCCTCCACGCAGCGATCGCTTCACTCGATACAACATTCTATTGATATGCATATAAATACACACTGATTAAATGATAGATTGCTTTTAACTAATCGTGATTCGTTATTTGTATACGATTGTTATGATACATAGTTTTATAGTGAAAGAGAGGATATAAATTGTGTCATGTTTATCTCGATATCGCATGGTTTCCAATAAAAACTTTGGAGGTCAAGTGTAGTAGGCGTATTTATATCAAAACGAGGCTATGCGCCGCGTCTGCGGGGGCGGTCATTAACTGGGTCGCGCGGGGACAAAGACCTCAGTCGGGGGAGCGGGCGGCGGGGTGCGGGCCGGAGGGAGGGAGGGAGGTTTCGCTTTCCACCGGAGCTCCCTTCGATGTCAGCTTGCTGCTCTCTCGTCTAAGTTCGTGTGAACCACCCCCCGACGGTGCGTGCACAGTCTCCACAATGAATGTTTACCGTTCGCGCTCTCGATAGCTTCAATTTGGAAGTTCACGAACATTAATTCCCTTTGAACGAATTCCCTTTTTGTTTGTCACGATTGTTATACTAAGACATCGAACCTCCGTCAGTACAAACTCGAAGCGCATCGTCCGCAGGTGTGTGTAGGGAGGTCGGTTTATAAAAACACCTATAAATATTTGTGATGCAAATGTTGCACATAACGAGCCACTGACATCGACCTGATGCCTGCAGGAAACGAGTGTCGGCTTACTTAATATCGAGGGCGCTGACGAATCGATTATCATAAAATAATCAAATTACTGTCTTATAAAAAATGTAAAGCAGTTTCATTTAAATGACAAACATAATAAAGTATATATTATATGGCGTTCAGTTATAAATGCAGTTGTATTTTACTCCACCCGAGTCCCATTTCCGTGTCTGTAACACTCTATTTATAAGTCCCAACCAAATGTCAAGCACTAGCCAGTGATTCGATCTAATCGTCTTATCCTAATTATCATCTGATTTATGTGAGCGCCCACACTATGATTTATATATCGGAGCTTATTAACAGCTTCTTGTGAAATACTAAATATTATAAAACATGATTTGCATTTAACTGAACTAGCTATAGAAGTGTTATAATTAAAAAATTAATATAAGTTGATGAACAATATTGTAGATTTTATAGGCACTGGACTTATTTTGTTTTGAATATGAAAGAAAATCGTAATTTGCAACAAGTATCATGGTATCATTTATTTGTTACATTGAATTTTTATTTGAATTGATTTTTCCTTATAATTGTTTATTTGTAAGTAATTAAAAACGATCAAAATTTAACCATTGGTTAATAATTTCATCATTAACTAACAAGATCTCAATTAAATAATGAGAATATTAAATTCTCTACTGGAGGTGTCATTTCGTAGTCTTTCCCTTTGTTATAATTTTATTAACTTAACAAGACCTGACTTGCATACTGATCTGTATTATAAGATAAAGTTTCTAGCCGCTCTATTCTTTATATTCATAAAAAGTCGTAATTAAGAAATGAAATCTAATTAATAAATATTTGTATATACAAATTTACTTGCGAATTTAACGTAATTTGATATTTAAACTGTGTTGTGTCTGGATCGTATTTAATCATTCGTCTAACTTATTGAACGCACCAAATTGGCTTCCTATACGGCTTCACTAATACATCACTATCAAGACAAAAGTACACAAATTCATTACACTTTAGTATATAGCACAATTTGCCTTACTTATATATGACTAGTACTATATATGTATATTTGTGTCTGTATATGTCATGTAATGTCCCATGTCCGTTGATCTTCACGTCTTATAGTATCGTAGGTCAGTGATCTCTAAATGTTGATTATCTGAGTACCGAACGTTTCGTACTGTACTCTACATACGACGGACATATACACTCATTACAAATATAGTATTCAAATCTTCTACACATGAACAGTCGTGGATTTCGTTGAATAAGTATAAGTAATAAAGTATTTTGCAACTCATCATTGTTAGAGAAATTAATAAATACACTATTACTTTAAAGACATTCTTTGACAACACTATGCGGGTTTCATTGGTACGACTATATGGAATCCTAAATATTCTTTCTTTATAATCGTCGCTTACTGGTCGGTCCCTAACCCACTAATCGATAAGTTTATCAAGTTGGTGATATCACTAACGAATCGTCGATAACACACATCACATCCCTCGACATAAAATATTGTTTCTCAAATATGTACATCATTATTACCAGTCGTTTTATTATATGGTATTATAAAACTTATGTATTACTAGCTTTCCGCCCGCAGCTTCGCCCGCGTGGAGTTCGGTTATATCGCGTTTCCAAGAGAACCTTTCAAAATTCTAGCATAAAAACTATCCTATGTTCTTTCTCAAGGTCAACTCTATCTCTGTACCAAATTTCATTAAAATCAGTTCAGTAGTTTAGGCGTGAAAGCGTAACAGATAGACAGAGTTACTTTCGCATTTATAATATTAGTAGGGATTACATACAAATATCTTAATATTAATGTATGTCTGTTACTTTATATATAGTTTATCGATGTCTCTCATGAATTATAATGTAGGTCAATTATTGAACTGCGCGTTATCACAGCAAGTGTGAAATGTTTATGGTTACAATTTCGATAGTGTATCTCGTATACATTGGAGTACGGAGAGACGTATATTAATTATGTAGCCACGGGTTCATATAAAGATATATAGGAATCATTCTTATGTAATAATATATTTGGAGATACGTTTTATTTATTATTATTATGATAATATCTCTTAATGTCATTGAGTGCTCTTAAAAAAGACGTTGTGATACCGCCATTTAGATTATATTTTTTTAATTAATTTAACTATCATCATAAAAACCATTCGGGGTTCATTTGTATTCGTTCTAGAGGCGAGTGTAGAGTTTTAAAGGGATTAGAGCTCCCGTTGTTACGAAACTCGGACGTGATTTATCTTAAAGTCGATGACGAAATCTCGTGCCACTTCTATTTATTTCAGGCCGCTGTTAAATGGACTACTGTAGTTTTAGGACACAAGGAAACCATTACGTCAGTACTGCTAATTAAGTGAATGCCACACGCTTTATAGATCTGATCCTATAAATTGATACTGAACTATAACAATTAAATGATGTTTTTTTTGTATTTGAATATCATTCGACTTATTTACTGCATAGTGTATTTTTGTTTTATATTTTAATTTTAAGCGAAAATATATAAGTCAATTAAGAATATGATATAATTGTGTGATACATGGTTACAGTTATGATCGCCAACCCGTCTTGAGCAAGCGTGGTGATTAATGCTCAAACCTTCTCCATGTGAGAAGAGGCCTTTGCTCAGCAGTGGGCTTCTGATAGGCTGATGACATGGTTACTGGCTCATTTTTTTGATAACAAAAACTCCAACCACGCGTGTGATCTGATTAATTTAAACTATTTTAATTCTTTCATATCATCTAATTAACATTATTATTAGCTTCGCAGTACTACTGAAAGTTTACGTATCTTGATAAAGAGTGGTGGTGTGAGCAATATTCAAAATTGAACTGTATGAAATTGAAATTTATAATGATAACTAAAATAAATTCAAATGTCATCCATATTATGAAATGTCTTATGTACGTAATATTATAGCTCCTTTACAAGGAGACAATGGTTTTAGGTATTTTTAAGTATTATATAAAAAACAGAAGCACAAACAAGACAAAGGCAGAAGTGCATGCCACGGAGTGGATTTTACTACGGAGTATTGTGAACTCAAAAGTAGATATTAGAAATAATAAATGTACCTACATCCAGAATGACTGGAACATATCGCGGCCGCAAGTCATAAGATTTTGTCAGGGGTATGTTTATAAATTAAACGTCTGATCCCGGTTTCCAATTACGTTTCTTAGACCTTGCAACGTTGCAACAAAAACTGTTTCGCCGAGTTGGGGATCAAATAGGGCGAGTTTTGGGTGCAGGGCGAGGGAGGGGGGCTGAGGGGCGCGCGGGCGGCGGGGGGAGGGACACCGTGGAGTGGCGGGTCGGTGGCGGGAGGGGGGGCTGCACAGCCGCCGCGGGAACAATGCGGCCGTATCGATCCGCCCTGGTGCCGTCTACTCGACAGCCGACACGCACGCCTTCGCTCTTTTTATGAACGCCTGGTACTTTTGCTTTCGCGGGTCATGCGGGTTGCGTATGCGGCGGTTATAGATATAGGTAGATACTCTCCACACGGACAAGCATCAACAAGATGCCGCAGTACTCAGCGGACCTGTAACCTTTACCCACTAACACGAGTCATTAAACACAAATACACATGGTATGTATGTATGTTCGTAGATGTCTCCATATCAATTATGAACACGAGAGACCGTCCCCCAATGTATTGCTATCAGGCCGACGGCCTCAAATAACTAACTTAGCAATAGATCTCTCAAAACTACCCTCGTTAATGTCTTATCATTTGATTACCGGAATGTTCAAACTTTAATTTAAACACACGCTACAAGTTTCACTTCACCCACATTATAACTGATAGCTCCCGACAGTTTGATATGTTAATGTCTAATATCATAGGGATGGATGGTACATAACATACATATAAGAGCATAGTATATGTACATTAGTTGGTAGTAGGTGGTACCTGGTCGCTTGTTAGCGAGACCTAATATTACCGGTTACAAACGACGCGTGTCACCTAATGAGTTTTGGTGAAAGCTGCACGCGAAGACATGCCCATTACGAAATATATATCAATTATTATATGCATATACCAATATAATAGAGAAAAATAGTACACTAGTTGGATGTAGGTACTCAAATTATTATGTCTAAGTCTTCATATATATTTTTAACAACCGCTATCACATGTTCTGTACATTACAGTAAATTTAATCGAAAATAAATATAAACATATCTGTTAAGCTATCTTTGTGTGATGCTGGAACTTCAAAACAGAATATCATTATAAAAGCACAAAGATTGTAACCAGTCACGATTATACATAATAAATTCTTAAACAGTAAATATTAGAAATAAAATTATAATATAAAATTAATATTTTAAGATCACATATAATTAAAAGCCATTCATTCAGATATTGAATATATTGACGAGGGATTAAAATCTCATATAGCCATGTATTGGTTAACAGAATTAAATAGGCTCTCCCACGCGTGGGACATTTGAAAGTCGATAAAAACTTTGATAAACATCAAATGCAGATGTAGCGGGTATCTGTCCGTGATGATCGCTTTCATGTACATTAAGATGAAAATTATTACACAGATATACTAATGACTAGCACCACTTAATAATGTACTCGGAGACAGCATAAGACAATACTTTAACTTCTTCTACCTGGCAATTTCCCAGCTCTAGCCAGGGTCTGCCTTACATGTTGTGAATAGTTATGGCTGATTGTTTTTACGACCGACCGCCTGCCTGACATCAACCCTCTTTGGGAATGCATTAATCAGTGAATTAAATACTCTTAGAAAGTACATATGACTCTGAAAATTAACTTGGTACTTGCCAGAATCGAACCCGCGTCTTCATACATGAGAGGCGGACCTTTCAACCACTTGGCCACCACTGACTAGAAACTTACTTTAACTATGATTGAGTAATATTTATTTATTATACGTACAGCTCGTTTATTCCTTTTTGGTGTGTTTTATAAATGATTTATCTCATTCCCGTCACAGAATCCGTCCCAGCTCCACCGATGACTGTCAGCATCAAACTATTTGGTTGTTTATTTAGTGGTTCAACCCCCGACACACATTTGTTACTCGTTGATTGATTTTATAAATATTTAATACGTACAATAATTTTGAAATAGAACAATAAAATATATTTTTCTTGAAAATTAGAAAAATATTTTGATGATCTTCTCCCTATAGTACCTACTATTTAAACTCTTTTTAGTTAATAATTTTGATTAATATCTAAAGCTGTCATATAACACACTACATTAACACATCACAAAACCGAGATATCGATATGAGTCACAACGTTGCCTTAGAAGGGAACACTGTAGTACCAGCTTATAACAAATACAATAGATGAAGAACGCACTCAAGCCGCTCACATAGCATTCATAGTTGAAAACCTTTCAATTATCGCTTTTCTAGCCGCCTCTGTGCTTCAATGTTTCAATTTTAAAAGATACTCTGAACTCTTTGACGTATCCCAACTCGACGGTCGCGGGATGCGGGACCCTCTCGCATGTTCAACCCCTTGTCGGATAATGCCACTTGATTGATAAGCTGCGGCGACTAAAAACTTACGACAACTTTTTAGACCAAAGTTTACCAAACAGATCTCTTGCCCTTGTTTCATCTGTTTCTATATTTTTTTCACCATATTTATGAATATTATTTTATCAAACTTTGTGTTGTAGAGTCTACTTTAAACTAAGTTATCTATAAGTACGAGTATATGTTTTGCATGGTCATGTAAGACGCGGGTTGGTCTCAGCCGCTGCCGCTCCAGACTCGGTCTCCCTCGCCACCAGATCCATTCCGCTCAATTAGAGCCGCCGTTCTCTCCACAGATTTGAGTACGCCGTTTTGATTAAACTTTGATTGCGACGCGTCACTCGCCCCGGGAGCCGGTTCGCGTATTTGTGTCAAACTGATCTCCCTGTGATTGACGGACACAGCATTCGATGTCCTTCTGGCTTCGGTGGAGGGTCCGGCTGACTTTTTGTTTTTATTTAGTGTTTATGCGACTTGGATTTGTCAAATCCTGTCATATTCACACCGCATAACGCAGCTTGAACGATTTTTTTTAATTTTATATAGGCATGTTTTGCATTTTTGGTTTGGTATTAATTGTATTATTTGTGTATAGAAAACAAAATGTTCAAAACATGTAGGTACACTGCTTATATTTATTACTTGCCGGTTGTATATAAATATATGCTTTATATACATATTCATATACGTACTTACATAAATCCATTTTAATTTTTTTGTAAAGAAATACAAATCAACCTTTTCTGTTATGAAAGGAAACGCTCGACATGAAAGGAGAGCAAGGAAATGTTAAATTATTACCTAATTAACGTAACATGGCAACGTTTCTAAATTCGCTCCCCCAAGTTAACGGGAAACTTAGGAAACTTCTTTCTTGGGTGAAGGTACTTAGAAGTTTTTTCCACTCATGTAACACTTGACAGATTGTGTGCCATAAAGTATTACGACCAACGAGCGATCAAAAAATACATTTTTATTATAAAAGAAAAATCGATCGCTTACTTTCTTTAACAATATAAAGGATTTCATATAAACGGTCGAATAATTCGATACAAAATATACGACACACAATAAAAGGGTCTCTATAAAACTGAACGTCTCGGAAATTAAACGTTAAATGGCTGCTTTAAGTATCTTTTCATTAATTGATTTCAATAAAACGATGTCAAACATCACTTAATTTGACCGCTATGTATTTTAAAACATTCTACCATTCAGAAGAAACGATCCTACCACCCTACATTAACTAAACATTACATTACAATGACCTATTAGTATATGCTTTTTCATTATTAATTCTCCTCCAAAGTTTATTTTTATTATTATCACATTAATTAGTATGTTTTATTAAGACGTTTTATTATTTCCCGTGCGCGTGACAGATGGTATCTGAATATCGACAAATTAATGACAAGCGTAAAATAAATTAACGATGCCTTTAATAATTGTTTAAAGAAATTTTGTTTACGTTGTACATAATGCAGTCGGGCGGAACGGTTCGTCAGTTTCGTAGAAATCTGTCGTTGGATATTTTTAGTTTTACGAGCCCCGCTTCAATCCCTTACCCTTCCTGAGCCTAGTAGACTGTGATGATTGTCACGTAGATAACATTCAATAGTATAATATTGGAGAAACTTGCTTATAACTATGAGTATATAAGCAATGGAATTCATCGGCGTAAATTTTGCGTTAAACAAGGACGAAAGTTCGAATAACCGATACCAATAACAAACCTACCAGACAATGGTAGGTATTAAAAAGAAAAAAATATTATATCAAAACATGGAAAGACTGCTTGATATTTAACGTTCAAAGCACTAGAAGGTTCAAGGTTTAGCTTAGCAGTAACCGACAAGTTGTTTATTGTACGAGGAAGGAATAATGAATTCTACATTGGAGACGGTCAAGGAGAATATACGTTTCCATACACCAATAACCATGATTGACGCCAGCTCTACTGAGATGGTGTAAATGTAGGGTCCTTAATAAGTCTCGTTTAATATATATCGCTATCCTTTATAAGGGCATATCAACATTTAACTTACACGTGTCCAGTTTGTAGGACAGGGACACTGAATTATTCAACGTGTCACTACAACTAAGTAAACGACAATTTGTTTTGACAATTATTAATTTACTTCACCATTATTAAATTTTGTTATGTCGCTAGTTGTGACTTTCGTATCGCTGTTTAATTTAATGAGTTATTTTTAATAAAGTCTATGAGTTGTACATGTTAGAGTAACATAAGCCCGTCATCCTAAACGTCTAATCAATACTTCTGATACGTGAAGTAAAGCCCCCCAGTACTGTAATCGTAATGGACAATTATACCGAGGGGCGCTCTCACGCGTGGCTCGTGCGTGCCCGTTGTCCGCTATTATTACAAGATGCGTGTGTCACTAACAACAGCGGACGCGAGATACGAGAGAACAGCGAATAACACATACATACATACATACATACATGTACGTACTACAGCTTAGTATACTATCATATCATTATAGAGTAAAATTTCAGTACGAACAACGTTCTTATATAATTTATACGCAGTTCAAAATCAAATCTTGTATAGCGTTTCATACATTAACCCGCTATATCTGATGTATTGCGTCTGCCGAAGCTTCGTCCGTCCATGTGTGCAGACCTCCGCGGGAGTTCGCCCCCCATCATATACTATTTTCATTTATCACCGGCTTCGATACTTAACCTTATTATAAGAGCCGCCACAATTAACCATCAACATTATTACGTCTCCGACAATATTCAACAAACTAAAAATAAAGCTCTCGACATTATTATTATATATTTTTGCGTCCATTTGCATAGTAAGTGTGTACACTGTACAGACTGAATTAATTAAAATTTGACTTAAATTATTTCTGTGTCGCGGAACTCGTTTTACGTGTTAATTAAATAAAATCGTGTGAATTAATTTCTGTATCTGTGGAGTAATTCCGTTTGATAAAAATATTTTTTTTTCCGACACAAATGTATATCAGATATGTTTCTTGTAGATTTTTGTAAAAAGTTTCTTATATTTTTATGTAAATTATTTTTATTAATAGTTCGCAATGTTACTTATTTTTATATACCTACTTTATAAACATGCTCATTTCTCAATAATTTTTGCATACATTTTATTAAGTTATAGATACTGTGATCATTCAAAAGTTATTTTTTTTTTTGGTAAAAGATTTCATTTTATTATATTCTCTAGGGACCTAAAGATATGTTTTTGTAACTTTTTAAGTTAAATAAAAAATGTTTCCATTTTAAATGAAACACAAATCAAATAATATATATGTGGTCGTCGACGTCCACGGATGTGTTAAATCAGAACAGTGTATTTATTGATCGCGGGAGCTAGTAAATCTAATAAGTTTTTTGTCGGACGCGAAACGAATGAGGTAAAACGTGTTTGAAATAGACAGGGGATTAAGTGTCCCCTCGCGAGCTCAGGAGGGGAAGGAGTACAAGTAGTGAGCAGCCATGGGGTTGTACGGGGAGTGCGTGCTCCGGGCGTAGTGCTCAGGATCAGTTACACCGAGATCGATCACTATCATAGAGAAAAACATCTCAAAGGAAGCACCAGGTACTGCCAGCTGGTCCCTCTGAACACGGAGCGGCAACGTCGCCACGTATCGACTTGCTAGCGACGAGGATGTTAGTTTAGGCCAAACTAATATCTCCAACAGACGCGGGCTCTGAGATTACCGATCAAATGCTCGGTTAAATCTTTATCGGGATGATGAAAAATGTCCCGAGCTAAATCGTTTTCAATTTAAAATACGAGAACACATTTTATGTGCATTGCTCCGTGACACCAATATGACAGGTATCAGTAAGAAAACAAAGTTTTAAATGAAAACTAGTCATGATACATCCCTTGATGTAGCGTGGCCGTGTTTATAACAACACAAAGGTACAATGAGGGCTTTCAGCGGTTCGTGGTATGTGAAACAATAACACGGACCTAGAATAGCCTGATGGGATTATTAGAACAGTGTGGTGCGAGGATTCACGTCGACCCACAACTAATATAACGAAACCGATTCTATTTGATTGCGGTCATACATTTTGTAATACCATCTTATTATTTATTTGTCCAACAAAATATTTTCGTGTAACAATATGTTAAAGCAGTTCTGTCATCGTACCTACAAACGGCCACCTAAAACCACAACCGACGACTTTCAGAATACAAACTACCTAATCGCTACATATATGATACAAATTTAAACATATAAAACATGGCTCTGTTATATTTTAATGTTTTAAACATGGGAACGAGTCGAGTTCAATGTCATTACTGGTAATATTTTTTTAGACGGATAATTTGAAAGTATAAGTATTAGTTTGACTTTAATTAGAATTGTAATGTTATTTAAATAAGCATTCATTTGGTATCGTTTATTTTTATCGATGATATGCATTAACCATCTGATCAATCGGATAACTAACATGAAAATTTTATCTTTATTGACTTTTCTGTTTTTTCTAATCGTCTTACTTAAACCTTTTATATGTGAATATTTTCTAATATAGTAAGTAGTGTTGTATAATATACAAAAGACTGTTTTATGTTACAGGTACGTAGTCAAGCAATCATATTTAAAGTCCGTGGGAATTGAACGGACATCGGAAGGGCGACCGCGTACTCTATACAACGGTAAACACATGCAGATATAACCTTTAATGCTATAGTAATAAGAATTATAAAAAAACTCACTACGATTGTTGAAGTTTCAAACAATATTTATTATAAAAATACTCCGTAATGAAATACGGAATAGAGAAAAAAATCTCAAGTCTCTCGAAAGCATTTCGTAGTGTTGATTGTAAATCTTTGAGGGAACGGTCCTTCACTTGGAGTGTCCTTGACATATTTGTTGCATCATAAACACGTTACAGTTTCAGTTAAACGAGTAGATAACTTAAAACAAATTTTAAACTCAACATCTTAACTAAAGATCAACAATACTGCGTATACCTATCTATATAATTATCATTCTTTCGCTTACTGTACTAATATTGAAGGAAAGCGTGCGTTATATATAAGTTATGTATTAGCATGATGTGTAACGGTTCTTTGAACATAAACTAGCCTACACCTACATTGCCTTGTACCGTCGAGATCAAAGGTGCCTCGAACGTGCCTCCATCACTGTTAAGTTACTTCATATGTTACGAACATAATTAGTTTTAACTTGGAAACATTCTTATAATACATGTACATGTCTCTGACACTCGTGGATTAATATCTGATAATCTTTCGAGCCCGTGATTTTCACATCAAATCAGTTCATATAATTATTTTAATTACATCCAAATATTCATTAGCATAATTTGTATAAAACCCCTGCGTCCGTTAAAAAAACTTTATATTGTTCTATGCTCATATTATTTGATTGAAACAGATAATTAGTACATGCTATCCTTTTTCTTTCTCGGTTGTACGGCAATCTCAGTATTGTAATTTACCTAACTATTCTTTAAAATGAACCATAATACACCAACATCCTACTTTCAAAGGCGTAAAATTGAATAGTTAAAAAAAATCCTTTTACAGGCATGTACATCTTCACAGAATAGAGGTATTTGTATTTCACTTATTATCCTACTCACAATGAATAACTTTAGGATATTTTTATATTTTCAAAGCAAAGTTCTCGGAAACTAAGTTCAGTTAACCGTCTGACTAACCTCGGTTTGTTTCGTGTTGTGTAATAAAACTTTATCGTTATCCTCTGTCTTATCTCTGACTGTTATTACATAGTTTAAAACTAAAAATGATGTTCAACATTTACTTTCCAGTTAATTATATCCGATCTTCGATTGTGCTTACATGGGAAAAGACTTTCTTTATCTTTAAACTTAAAAAATAAGACAATAGGTTCTCGTTATCGATACTTCCATACTCAATATAGTATGATTCATTGGCTGTTTAAATAAGTCGATCCGCGCACTTGAGCCGTTGTAATGGATTTGTCAACAAGTAACTCAATATGTCGAATTGTATTACGCGGACCCAATGAATGTGCACACTTTGAATATGTATTTTATAATTGGATATCCCACGTGAGGGGTTCGCTCGGTACAGAACAACGCCACCCAGGAGGTATAGTGTAACTTTTAATATATAAAAACTTGATATTTATACCACCTGGATTGGTTTAGAAACACGTTTATTTGTAATCACATATCATTCTGTATTCTACGTATCAATATAAGGGATGTTCCTCTTTTAAAGTTTATAGATGGTACAAAGTGAGAGTACATATCCGGAGCAGCCCGCATCTTTGTGCAGACCGAGTCTGTTATCTAGAATACACCGACAAACGTAACGCCGAGCGTAATTACACACGATACTCGGCTCGACATTCGCACTACATACCGTTAGCTTTTCCGTTTTAATATCACTACCTTTCATTTGTTCGAATGAAAAGTTTCAGCTTTGTACTGATTATTTTACATATATAAATTTTACGAGAACAAAACCTAAGAATTATATACAATATTTCAAGTCGTCATACTTTTGGATGTCAGGAATATTCAAATTGGTTCCAACGAATGGTATCGTCCTAAATCGGTTTATCGTCGTTTGAGAACACCTCTGAATCTTTTTGTTCTTTTTGCCGACTTTTGCCGCCCTTTCCTCGTGTTAATGCCTTTTGCAAGATTTATCACTGGGTCTTAGTGCCTTCGATGCAGTCTAACTCGTTGGAACTAATTAATTTAAACCTGATTCGCTCGCTTGTATTGCGATATATAAAATGTTACTTGGAAACTAATATCGGTATGTTTACTTGTGTAAGAATGAAGCCATGTTAATATTAACGATATTTGCTTTAAAATTCTTTTCACCAAAAGTCAGGAGTCGTGTGAAGATGTACCTAATTCTATTACACATACGTCATACATTTCATAATAGTCAATAACTATCAATGAGGTTATCCCTACTAATATTATAAATGCGAAAGTAACTCTGTCTGTCTGTCTGTCTGTCTGTCTGTCTGTCTGCTACGCTTTCACGCCTAAACCACTGAACTGATTTTAATGAAATTCGGTACAGAGATAGAGTTGACCTTGAGAAAGAACATAGGATAGTTTTTATCCCAGACTTTTGAAAGGTTCTCTTGGAAACGCGATATAACCGAACTCCACGCGGCGAAGCTGCGGGCGGAAAGCTAGTTTAATATAAATCTGTTTTGAAGTATCTAATGTAATAAAGTCTTAATAATATAATAATATACAAACGGGCCAGTCGATGTGACAGTTTTATTGTTAAATTGTGACCGTTGTCGTTAAGCGTCTAGTAGACTGTTCTTTTAGTGCCCCTAATTTGATACAACACTTATGTAACCGGCGAGTATGTGGCTACCGAGAACTTGGTCTCGAAACGTTTAAATAGGATATGTTAAATATATATTACCTCCTTCCCGTCTGAGCTAATGAAAATATTTAGCGTACTTGTGGTAGTCGGAGGTGAAAATTTGCATTCCGTTCCCTGACTTAACTGTCCTCACACCTTATATAAAATGTTGGAATGTGATGAAAATAAATGTGCACTGTATATACTCGACCCAATACTACATATAGAGAATTACTTGTTTTTACCTCCAACGAATTTAAACTCTTTTATCTCTATACACTTAAAGAAATTCCATTTTATCCCTTTTCAATTTCTCGCCGACGTACACAGGTTGTAAAATATGCAATGTCTTATATAGAAAGTGCGAAATAAGCTACTAAAGCCATCAATATTTCAAAGAAATGACATTCTAATCGCTATAAAGGTTCCTGTCGCATAAATATTCCAAAAGGAGCGTGGAAAGCTATCTGCGGGGTACGAAAACGGGTGAGAGTTAGTAGGTCAGAGGGAGAGAGGCGTCGCAATCCAGACCACTGGCGCCTCCCTCCTGACTTGAGATGCGATGTTAAGGAAGTGTACCACCACACCACCCCGACGGATTCTGGCTACTGACAACAAAGCACCAACTTTTATTATAACTTCACCATAGATCCCTAAAGTACCCCGCTCTACCGAAGGTGTTCCGATTGAAAATTAGCATTTAAAAATTTAGTTTCATACTAAAAAAAAATACGATTATTTTTTGTTGTATATTAAATATCTCCGACTATATTATTATTAACTCGACGCAACCGGTCGAGATCGACAATTTTTAATTATTATCGGTCTTAAAGTTAATTACGAATAATAAAACAGAGGTCATTAACTCTGCATTGATGGAATCTGTTATAATTAATGATTTTAGATTTAATTGTCTGTGCAAAAATAATTGGTCGTTTACAAACAAACGACATTTCATCATGTATAGTTATTGTTTGGTTTAATCATTTTTATTTAATATGTATAATAATACTATAAAGATACATATATACATACTCAGTAATGAAAGTAACACAGCTCGTTTATTAGCGTATAAATAACGCAAGTTTTCCAAGAAATTGTTATGTTAGCAAAGACGTCGTCCAGAAGGGCATGGAAGGACGGCCAGGCCGACGCACTCTCAGCCAACAGCTGAATATTGAGACACTGTTTTTTACAACATAGAATGTCTCAATGATGTATAGCGGCTGAGGATGTAACAGTATCAGATTTACATATGACTCGTCATCTTATCCTTAATATTACGTTCATTCACTTAGAATAAGATAATTCATTATTAAAGTGCTATACTAAAAACTACTGCTATATATGTGGGTCTAGATTGTTACATCATTTTTTGTAATAATAAACAATAAGCCACTATAATACATGCCCTGGCAGACGTACACAGAAATACTTTCAAGTCCCCACTCCCTGTCCGACTCTCATGATAAATGGACGATGCAAACTTCCTAATTCTTTTCTTTATTCCACCGACGAGGGATCGGCGAAATGTTACTGTGAAAAAATATGCTACGCATAATAGCTTATTTGTATATTATTAAATTCGACAAAATATTTTCCCGTGTTTTGTATTTGGCTAGTTTGAAACAATTATTCGTTATTACATAAATTAATCTTAGGAATTAGAGTGTTCTTAATATTATTGCCGATTCTCATCCGACCTTGACGTAATTCGGAGGTGAAGCGGTGATTGCTCTGAGAAAACTAGTCATATCATATTATTTTGTTTCGACTAACATTCCCCCTTTTATTGTATAGAGAAAATAATTTAAAACTGGCGAACATTTTAACTTTATTTGTATTTATGTTGAGAACCGAGTCAAAGGTCAAGTCAACACGAAAAACTTTTTATTACATAGTACTTATTGTTTCTGTTACGATAGAAATTTTCAAAGTGAAGAAAACAATTATATAATAGAAACAATAGCCACAGGCGGCTTTATCCTTCAAAGGAAATTTCTGCCAGGATAGCCTTAAGGTCAAGAGTTATATAACAGGGAATATAGAGGTCGTGGTAGAATCATTCATAATAAATGTACATAAATACATATGATATTCAAACTTACACTACCTACAAAACAATCTTAAACAATGGGTACATTTTAGTGCATGTACTGGATAAAGATTCTGTAAAAAAATATTTATAATAAAATATTTTTGATGGATTATGATTATCTTTAAATTTATGGAGTCAAGGTTTTCAATCCCAACCGCGCCTCAGCCAGCTTGTTAAAGACGATTTTGTATATCATAATCTATAAGATATCGGAGACTGAGTAGCCACAAGCCGACGAGGCGAGTGCTGAGAATACGCAAACAGGTGTCGACTATGAGGATGTATTTGCATATAAATAGAGTTCCTGCTTAACTGTAACACTAGCTCGTCTCTTTCTCTCTCACTCCTTGTCTGTAACGCTAGAGGGGCACAGGACGCCAGGGCTCCTTGCCTCCTCGCCGGCCAGCGACACCATCAGATTCTATTTATAAACGGTGATATAACAGGCAATAGAATGACTCCGAATCATGAAAACTATGCTATTGTTTCCGAAGAAAGGAAAAAATAACTCATTGCAGTTCTTCATTACGATTGTTATAAATAAACGGAGATACCTACGTCGCTCACCTGTCTCCATCATAATGTTTTGCTTTGAATATCTAATATTCAATACAATTGCTATTGTCCAGCGAAGTTTTTAAATATAGGTAGGGAGCCGGTTTATACATTAACATTTTGTGTGAGTGAAATTTAATAACCATCACCGTATGTCGTGTCCTAGGCTTATAAATATAATAATAGCATATAATGTGAAGTGATTAGCGGCGGGTTGTCGCCGGGCCGGTTTCTTCTTCCGTTAGCTGTTTTTCTCTACAATGTTATATTATTACATCATATGAACGTCGTCGCGGACTCGTCTGCGTAGGCGCAGGTGACAAGCGAACTGTTCATATTTTTTTGACGGTCGACTCCACTGGTACGCAACTAGTTCTGTTATTCGAGACCCCTGTTATTTGTGTGTCTCTTATTTTTTTTTTTGATCCGTTCTCTATTTATTCCGTCGGGCCCTTTTTTGCTGGGTTGCAACGCCCGTCCTCGAAGGTTTGAAGCGTTTTTACTCGGGCACGGCGGAGATGCAAGGGGGCCCCCGGCCCGGTGACTACACCCCCCCCCCCCCTCCAGGCCGGGCCGGGTCGTCCTTGGCCCGAGCGTTCACCTTGGCGCGGTGCTCTGTCGCACCACAGGTAACAAAGTTCCGCGAACTACGTGATTTCTATGGCTGTCCGAAAGTGGATCTCAGGGTAGGCATCTCGGGGCTCGTTCGACCGGTAATAATATTACCGGGAACGTCGTAATGAGACACTACCGTCTACCGTCCACCGTTCACCCTCGTCCCTCGCAGCAGCCAGGAGGTGGTGCGTGATCAGCGTTACATTTCACTGTATCTAATGACTAAAAATAATTAGAACGTGATCCTTCTGAGACGGATGCAGAGCTCCGTGGTGGTCCCGCACACGTTGCTCGTTACCGATGTATGCCTTGATCTAGTTATGGTTTTAACATATCGTGCTCCCCGGATCGATTTATACAGTAATTATAATTGACGCTTTATTTAATTCCCAAACACAAATACATAGTACACATTACGTAAAAATTAATATTAACAACGGAAGATTATATTTTCTGTCCAGTTGAAAGTTAAATTTTCTAATGTAGGATTTTAATATAGTGACAATGAGCTGTTCGTTTTGTTTTGTTTTAAAGGATATAACCTTCGATTTATTATTCAGTTCTTAAAAACACACAATTCATATTGGACTCTTTGTACTAATATATTGTGACTTCTTGACTACATGTTATTGACCATTAATCCTATAACTAGAAAATTCACTACAAATTAGCATTTCTGTGAATTACTTAGTGCCTTAAGATGCCCGGATTAAAAAGTGTTTTTATGTTCTCAGAATTACCATATCATAATTTTTGATACTTTCTTGGAACGTAGATAAATGTTAGAGATAAGCTGTTGATTTAAAGAGAACAGAGATTGTTGTTTAGTTGTGTGAAAGCTTTTCGTTTGTTTGAATGTATGAGGGTGGGTGGTGGACGCTCTGTTAAAACTTGTAACTCTATACACACGCATTAAAAAGACCACAAATAATTACTCGTATTCCTTTCCACATTTTATGTTTATTGTGCTTTTATGATTTGTTGATGATTTACAACTCGTCTGTGCCTGTGCCTGTGGCTTACAACAGATATTCCACGATCGTATATAGTTGTTTTAGTGCTTTCAGTGCCAGTCGATGCCTGCCTGAGGGTCGTTCACTCTATGGGCCTGTCATACACATCAACTCATCGAAGGACATAAAAGGTCCACCGAACTGAATTATGTGTGAATATAGGCGTGTGAAGCCGACCACAGGATTAAAATGATAGCGTTCAAATGAACAGAGTTTATAAGGATCGCTTGGAACATCCGAAGTCGCATGGCTCAGCGTAAGTAATCTTATCGCATTAGAGGCCGGACATAGGAAGGGCATTAAATTTGAACGATCGTGAAGCGGCGGGTACAGCGAACGCGCCTGAAACCGGTCGTCCGTCCGTAAATAATGGATTAGAGGTGGGGTGAGGGACGAGGCGGGGGGTGTGGCGCACGCACCAGCTCGGCGGGGGCAGGGGGGAGCACCCGGCCGGCGGCGGGGCGAGGGGAGTGCGCCTCCCGTCAGCTGTTGCGCGCCCGGGACAGCGGCGCACTGCCGCCAATGCATCGGCGTTCATAGAGCACGCTGCTCGTCCCGCGGGCTACACCAGTGCTGTGTGTGTGTGATATCAGTGTACAGCAGTGTGTGATCGATAGTGTGCCTGTGTGTGTGCGTGTGTGTGTGATGGCGAGGATGTGCAGTGCTCCACGTACCGGTGGTACCAGCTGACCGCGTCGCTTGGGAGATGAGAAGTGATGTTACGCCATCGACCGAGGTGATTATCCCGGAGCCTAAAACACCATGCATGAACGTCGCTCCCATGGCGATCGTTTCCCGATCCATTGCCATGGGCTGGTTGCCATTGGTAAGCAACGCCAGAACGTTACATGTTTTAGGCGCTTTTTTTGCTTTATCGCAAAAAAACACGTCTCCGGCGCAACCAAAATCTTTTTTGTTCAACCGTAACAATGAATGTCGCTCTCAAGCTTAGGGGAGATTTGTGAATTAGATGGAGACGGTTGATTTTTTTTTTGGACGCCAGCCCTAAACCAATGGTTTTTTCAACGTTAACATTGGCATATTTTTTATAACTACCCTTCGTTATACGTGTATACCTACTTCACTTTTTCATTCGTCGAAATATATTACAAAAAAAAACTACTCCCATAGTAGGTATGACAAAAATTCATTTGTTTGAATAATATATGACTTCTTAACGTACTATTAATATTTGCAAAGGATAGTGAAAAAAGCCACCAACTATTTTCCATACAATAAATACCAATGATGTGTTTGTAGAAATAGTGTTTTAAAACATGTGCGCCTCTGTTTCCCTGAAATATTAATGTTACATTTGTGAAGCAAATATTTCCTTTGCGAATGTGCTTTCTTTAATGTATTAAAACAACAGATCTTCAAGTCACTACAAGTGCAGTATTTTTCAACTTCATATAATTCGTTTTCGTTCCTGTCTAATTTTTAATCTGAACAGTAAATCAGTGTCTATAATTTCTCATTGTAACTTCGAGTCGGGTTTCAATATCGCGAGCAGGTGGTGCTAGCACCTTGTAACTAAAACCTTCCGGTTTTGTTCGAGGAGTACATTATATATAGGTATATAAATAGAAGGTAGTTCCAGTATTAGTGATACTCTTGTAAGGAAGTCATTGTAATTCTCGACAGTAACTAACTCACAGTCAGCGTATCCTCGCGGATGTATGACGCACTGTTACAACAATACTCGGAACCTTGTCTTATAAATTATTATTTATTTAATACCATTTATCGTTACTTATATAATTTAGACAAACTATTCGATAATACACAAACAGGGAGTCCAAAACGTTGCTTATCTGTACAGTGGACATATTTACAAATATAATAACTCGTCTTTAATTAATACATTAAAAATGATCTCAAGGTTAATGAGTTCAAAATCATCGTTCGGCTGCAAATATATATAAATATTCATTCACAATATGAGTGATTTTTGTAAAAGATACTAAAATTCGAATGATTTTAATAAAGTTTAATAAATAGGTCGTTATTACAGAAAATGCAGGAAGGGAATAAGTCTTGTAAATGTTAAAACTAAAAGAAAATTTAGTCTCAAATTCATTTCTTACGATCACACTAAATTTTCCTTGACTTTCATTTCATCTTCTCCACTAGATTTTCACGCTACATTTTTATTTTATATATGTATAAATGAATCAAAATCTTTTCCACTCTATATATCAGATACAACATAAGCCATCAATATATTATGCGTGTGATACATTCTATCGATAGTGTTGCACCGTACATGATACGTTCAAGCTTTGATATCGATGCATCAGCGTTGCATTTGATCGTAACACGATTTAAATCCAATCACTGCGTCACGTACGCTCCATTTCCTCGAGCCGATCGCCTCGTCTCACCATAAGAGCTCATACAACCATAAACTACGTGTATACCAACTGACAGTGTCGAATTAAGTGTTATCTTAAGAAAAGGTGACTATTTTGTATTAGCAATACTTCATTCTGATTCTATTGATGATTAAGCTAAAAGCATGATCTATATTATCAAAATATTGATCACTAATAGTTACCAACTAGTACAAAACTATAATTTAAATTGCATGACATCATTTGTATAAGACTGACAACTGATATTCTAGTGCTATACTGAATATTGTATTTATGAAGTTTATTTCATATTAAATTATACATATAAAATATTTTGTTGTTAAAATGTCATATATATAGTTTGTTTAAATCTACCATTGCGTTTATAAAAACATGAAAAAAAACGAGTACAAATTTTCTGTTTGACATAATTTTAAAAACCTGTAGGTACGTGTTTATAAACGCCTGAACACCGGTCACGTCGATGACAGTGAACAGTTTTTTATATTTATTATACATCACAATATATTTATAATCATTATCAGAAATTACAAGGCGTATAATAATAATATCTGCTTAATATAATGCGTATCGTAAACAACGCCCCGTCGCTTTAACGGCCGTCTAATAAAATATATTATTCGTTGAGAAATTGCTCCTAGCGTTGTAAATTGTAAAACAGAGTGTAATGTCGTAAACGGACATTCGTACATTACAGCACTCGGCAGTGGTCCACCTCACAGATTAAATTTATAACAGATTACTTCTGAGATGTAGATTTAACTTAAACGACAGACGACTAATAAAATACTATTACACAATATTATATTACAAATATTAGGAAACTTAAACGATTTTTACTTCGTTTTAATCTGAAGAAAAATTCGAATAAATTTAAAGCATTCTATGAGTATAAGATGCGTTATTTTATACGGACTTCTTACGAACCGTTAATATCATAATAGTTCCATAGTAATACTATTCTATATATTGTTATTCATGTTAAAACCAGTCGTAGTTCTTCCCTTTATTTATTATTTAATATGAAAGCCAAACCAATCCCGAGTCATAGAAGCGTGCGATGCCATCAATTCTCCTTCCCCAGAACGTGCTAACTACCCGCTACATGAACATAGCGCACAGACCGGTATATTATATCAGTGTTCCAATTAACAACAGGTTACAGCATTATGAATATATTCCTATATTTCTAAATAATTATTTAACATAATCAAACAATCCGTCATGTATGAAATGATCGTTTATTGTGATAAAGACTTTTGTTTTGTCATTAATTGAATGCGAAAGTTGTGATCGGTTGAAAGAAAGAAAACAATATAGATGTGATAAGAGGCTTAGCGGTGTGGTCGGTGTATGTCGTGTCGTGAGGAGTAGTGTCGTGTAGGTCAGTCGTCGGGTCACGGGCTGGTGACGTGAATACTGAATGTTTTATAATGTCTTAATGGTACGTACGGTCAGTGCGAGTGCGGGTGTAGGAGGCGGTCGTCGACCCCGATCCGCATTCAATAGCATCCCGGCTCGTGGGACGCTCGCTAAAAATACGTGCGATGCGCCCCGCATTATAATGCACTGTACATACATTGAGATTTAAGTGTCGTGTGACGTGTCACATACGTCTAGTACACTACCAACTAGCGGTACAAAAAACAGAGGCTGGGACATGTTTATAACAGATAATGTGTATATTATAGTTTAAAGTTACGTTATTATTGAATCGTTGTGAGTCGCTCCAACAACCTTGACTTCAATCGCACTGAGATAACTGAAAATGTATCGCTGTGTGTGTGTGTTACAGGATACTCACACATGTAAGATACCTTATGGATGTTAGACAACAAATAAAATGTAGAAAGAACTTCACGGGTATATGTCGGGCTGAGAATAATATGTTAACAGTTAATACATAAACGTCGTAACAAAATATATTTGAAGACTTATGTTAGGGATACAATGAATGCAACATTTTGTATGCGTCGTTTACTTTTTATTCAATAAGTCGAGCTCTTAAATATTTTTTGTTGGAAAGGTCCGGAGGTATGGAACCAGTTTTATAAAAATAACACGCTGTGATTAATACGAGACCCTTCCTAAAGAGATCGACGACTTCATAATGCATTATGAACAGACCTCTAACGAATATATGAGATACACGTTTAAATATTATAACATTTTGTATACATAGAAATCCTTACACTTACCGAAACATGCAGCCATAAAATATACGAGGAATTTATTAAGAGGGATGTTGTCAACGTTTGATGATGATTATTTTGAAATTTTGTTTATTTGTTTGAGAGTTTGTATTGACTTTAAGTAATTTAATTGAGATGATCAGTGTATGCTTTATTTATTCAAAGATCATGAAGATATTTATCTCAAATATTGAATTGAACCTGAAACATTTTTATTGCTCTTCTCAGTAAGCTTACCTTTCTGTTCATTGGTATTAATTTAATTCGTGATAAAAATATAATTACAAGCTTCTACTCTCGACTTACGTGGACTTACTGATTGATTTTAAAAAGAATTGAATAATGTTCTCAAATAACATCCCATCCTCTAGCGCCATCTATGTCTTGTATGTGTCGCGACCTCATACAAAATACTAAATTTTGTTGTGTTCAGTAGGACACAATACGGAGATTCAGTAATTTGAAATTTCATCAATTTCAGTATTCAGTAGCAATAATTCTAATGTCCAAACTATTTTCATTAGTTTATAAGTTAAAGTGGATTAAACATAAATCCATCAATGTTCTCATAAACGAACAGTATTTAGAAGTAGTCATGAGTCATATCACACTTAATATATTTTATATTAAGCAAAAGTTTGATACATCTCTTGAAAAAAAAATTGAATTGTACTATTTGAACTCAAATCCACATAAAAGTTAACCAGCCTTATTCATAATTTCAAAGATATTTATGTACATATAAGATATAAATGTAATATATACGTTTTGAACTTATTGCAGTAGAGTCCGTTTATATTTTCTGTTGTTTACAATATTCATTGATCAACTAATATTTTGAATATCATAATGTCATGTTATTATATTAAAACAAAGCTCTAGATCTATTTTTATACATAATATTTGTTGAGTAAAACCTACTATAACCACAGGAAATATTTTGATGAACTCATTACAAACACTATAGGTACATACAATCGTTAATTTCTTATTAATGACTGCCAGTCGTACGTCGCTCACGACCACAAGCTCATATTAAAATGACTAATGCTGAACTCGTAACCTGAAAACTAATTTACTGTAACAATGTTAGCAAGAAAACTATAAGTTATGAGATGGTATCGCTCTGTGACCGGAGCATGGGGGTCATTTGTGGTGCAGCACTAACCCTGGAGTAGGCCCGCATATCACACATTGTCCGACCATTGTAAGCTTTGAACATTGGATTGACTTCACAATTGTCGTACACTGGAAGTTATTAAACCAAATGCTTTATATCGACATATAATAGACATCAGCCTAACAGAGCTCACTGCTGAGCAAAGGAATCTTTCTCACATGGAGAAGGTTTGAGCATTAATCACCACACTTGCTCGATATGGATTGCTGATTTCAAACTTATACTTGGGAAATTATAAGTCGAAGTTTCCTAACGATGTTTTCCTTTACCGTCTGTCAGTGGTGTCTAAATACTCTTAGAAAGTATATATGACTCGAAAAAATCACATTGATACTTGCCAGGATCGAACCCGCGCCCTCGTACATGAGAGGCAGGCCTTTAACCACTAAGCTACCACTGACTCAACATATAATAGACATCCAATATTCGATCCTTCATTTACATCCCGCTATCAAGTTTAACTTGACTGAAATCCCAAGAGTGAGCTATATGTTCACTCTGCAGTTTAGAAGCGTACTTCAAGACTAGGTTATTACGGCTAGGCATATTGAAAACTGCACTCCATAAAGTCGGCTAAGACGGCCCATTATCTATTGTGTTCAACACTGAGAATAAAAGCTTTTTAATGTTAACATTTTATAGGCGTTCGTGATCATCGTGCTTTACTTTGAACATTCTAATATAGGAATGTTTAAAATTATAAATCTTAATCCATATTTTAATTAATTAGAACTTACATTAATGTTAGCATAATAGCGTCTTTTTCAAAACTTATATATTTTTTTATATATAAACCTCACAATACAACGAAAATCCAAAATTAAGATCACAATTCCATTTTGAAAGTCATTTATTTCATGTGATAAAGAAATCTGTGTAATATGTTTTGATCTAATTATTGATTACTCATTTTTATTAATAATACGAATACCTTATCTATATTACTATCAAATCCGTCATAAATTATTTTCAACCTTCAACCTTCTCACACTACATACATAAATAAATTTAAAACATGTCTGTTTGTTCGTGAATCGTTTATATGTTTTAAGGAACGGCTAACGACCCGATAGTATCATACAAATGACACCATATAATAACTATCGCTCCATAATATAATTATAGAGATTGTAGATAAATATAATACAACAGTTAGTAGTCATGGAACACGTGCTACTGGCACCATCGGCCTGGTTCCTCCGACATATAATTAAAAACCGGATACGTACTTCCTCACTTCTAATACGTGTACAGATTGACGACCAAACATGTACTATACGCGACGCGATGATTATTGAATGTAATCACAACGTCTGTTTAATAATATCCCACTAATATTATAATTGCGAAAGTTTGTGAGTTTGTGTATGTTTGTTACTTCTTCACGCTCAAACGGCTGAACCGATTTTGATAAAATTTTGTATACAGGAAGCTAACGTCCAGGAATAATACATAGGCTACTTTACATCCCGAAAATCCGCGGGTAACACCGCGGGGAACAGCTAGTATTGATATAATTCAGTAATAATAAATTAGTTAGTGGTGGCTTAGTGGTTAAAAGGCCCGCCTCTCATGCATGAGGACGCGGGTTCGATCCTGGCAAGTATCAATGTGATTTTTCCGAGTCATATGTATTTTCTAAGAGTATTTAGACATCCCAAAGAAAGTTGATGTCAGGCAGGCGGCCGGTCGTAAAAACAATAAGCCAAAACTATTCACAACATGTAAGGCAGACCCTGGCTAAAGCTGGGCAATTGCCAGGTAGAAAAAGATTATAGTAATAATAATTATCATCATCCGCGAGGTATTCATTACAGTTTATGGAGCGGAAACGACATAAATGTTATAAAACTTATAAACTTTGTGAAACATCAAGGAACTAACGAATGTTTTAATTGAGTCTTCACACACGTCACGACTTACAACTTTATATACAGATATTACAGAAGAAATTATTTCATCTTCAGTGACTATTAAAACATAATATTGCTTTATCACATATAATTATATAATAATAGTTAAACACATAGAAAATGAAGAGAATGATCAGTTTATTGACCTCTGTTGATTTAGTATTACCTTGGGTTATACAATTATTTTATTAATAGTTGTTATAAACTATAATCATTTAAAATAAACGCAGAATGAGCTTCTAAATATAAAGGTTGTGTTTTAGAAAGCTTCTAGTACATGTCTGTATGTATTTATGCGTGTGTGTGTGTGTGTATGTATGTTTTCAATAGTATATAACAGTATAACAATGTACGCCTGTACGTCTCATATTATAATGTCCACGGTGTCTCCTCGATCCATCGATTCGTTAATCGAAATTATAATTTCCATCGCGTGTCGCCGTCACAGCCGTCGGCCGTTTCCTGTTTTTGTTTTCCCATACACTGATGTAATGTGTAATAAAAAAAACACAGAGTTCGGTGAGAAACCTTTTATGTGTACGTTATATTATAAATGTTATCATTTAACACGATTATAACACCGCTCGTAGTTCTGTTCCCTGTAATGCATGCCATCGAGGCCACATAATAACTAAGCATGTGATACACAGCTTATTTCCTGATATTCTAAGCTGTTATTGGAATCCTATTCTTTGTTATAAGGGCATTGCTCACTGAGGTCACAGTCATCCCTACTATAATATTATAAATGCGAAAGTAACTCTGTCTGTCTGTCTGTTATGCTTTCACGCTTAACCCACTGTACTGATTTTAATGAAATTTGGTACAGAGATAGCGTTGACCTTGAGAAAGAAGGCAGGGTAGTTTTTATCTCAGACTGTTGAAAGATTCTCTTGGAAACGCGATATAACCGAACTCCACGCGGACGAAGCTGCGGGCGGAAAGCTAGTGTATTATTTATATGAACTCGCTCATAAAGAATACATATAATTCCAAGTCCGTTTCATCTAAGTCTATTTGTAATGTTAATGTGATATAATTGGTTACTTCCTGACAATTGCGTAAAGTTCTTTGTGCTTCATTCAACGTTTGATAATATTATATAGAGAGCAACCAACAGCTCCTGGCTCGGAGTATACTGGTGCAGTGTTACTGTGACTCGAGCTATCATACACATGAGACCGATGAGGTAATTATATCCGGATAAGGGGAATTAATATGACACGAATAACATTGGCTGTGAATCATTAAAATGGAATTAATAATGAACTTTAATGATTAATACATATATCGACCGTACATTTAATATAGAATTAATAGAAAATTATTGTTTCAACAATAACGAAATTATGTTAAAGTAAAAAACCTGAAAATATATAAAAAAAATAACACGGAAAATCCGCGAAATAGATTAAATTAATGTTCATTATAATAATTATAATGTACAATTGTAAGAGGAATGGCTATAATCAATATCATTATGCACCGGTCGTGTCCTAGCTTGATGTCATTTGAAGGCATCGCTGCAATCCGTCACCGTTACGTCAAATAAAATGCACTTGACATACATACATAGAGACAAAGAGCGAATGTATGCAGCGACGCGGCTTATTATACAGGGAATTACCACTTGTTACATTCTTAGAACTCGAACTGAATTCAGAAAATAATCACAATAAAATTAAATATAGTTAATGAGTTATATGTAGTCACGTCATTGCAGAAACGATAGTATTGACGGAGGTAATTTCTGCAGAATACCATGATGACTGTAGTAGACGACACTGTTGTAAAACCGACCGGGTTTACCGTCTGATAAAACTAACAGATTTTTCCTTCCGTTTCATCGTCATTTGAACTAATTTAAATGATTATCTTTACATTTATTTCCTTGATCGATATTTTTCTAATATAATTATTAATTTCATGTCATTTTCCCGTAGGTAATATGGTTTAAACACTCGAAATAAAAATATTAGTATCAACATACGATCTTTGTTCGTGAAGTTTAATATATATCAATAGTTTTTGATGAGTTTCTTCTGATTAATAATAAAAAATCAAAAATCACTGAAGATGAAAATGCATATAAAAACATTGCTTTTTAATCCTTTATTAAATCCTATATAATGATATCTTTTTAGATAAATGTTTAATAAATAAAATTGTATTTACCCAATAGTTTTGCCATGACGCGTCTAAAACTGACGATGTCTAATTCCATACATATTCCATATATATAAATATATAAACAGTGCGTAAATGAAATATACAATTTATTTGTGTACAGTCGGAGTTATCAGGAGCTACGGACGTTGTGATTGTATGCTAGGACAGATAAGAGACGCGAACTTACCTTCAAATATAAAAACATATACATCAAGGGTGTACATTAAATAAACACTTAAGTATCGCATATGGGAACGGTATGCGGCAAAGCGACTTAATTTTTTGCTATCAGCTCCAATATCTGATCATTCCATCTATTGCTGTTTATTTTATATTAATGTGCATTATTGATTCAATGATTTTTTTCTCCACGGAGCCGACTCGCTAATAAGGAGACTATACAGGGTGACTGGTGAATTACTATCGATATTTAAGGAGCATACTCGGTACATGATTCTCATTCGAATTATGTAAAAAATAGGTACTTAATTTTTGACAAAATTTCCGTATAAATAAGTAAAGTGTTGACACGTTCCAAGTGATCAATTGTGGACGCGTGCGGCGGCGTGCTGATACAACATCACGTCACGACACGCGTATGTGTGACTGTCAGTGTATACCTAATCTGTAGGGTGTTCACACGATGCGTAATTAATTACATAACTTTTGGTTAACTTTACTTAGAAGTTTATTAATATTTATGTTGTATTAATTTTTATTTTGTTATATATTATCGTCAAATATCACGTCCTCAAATATTGATAGTAATTCACCAGTCACCCTATATATCGAGCTTACGTTAACGCTCCAGCGATATCTGTTATAAATTTTATTGATCAATCTGATTGTATTATTATAAACGCCTGATATAACGATGAAGCAGTAACTTGTTTTTATTTAACTAAATTAATTATTCATTAAGTTCAACGTTATTTCATTAATTTCAGAATCATTATATCTTTTGCTAGATCTTTATCTACATTCTAATGTGATTTATTGTATTGTCTCGCAAGTTCTGTCAAATATTTTTTCCTTTCATCTTTTTTAATTCAATTGAAAATACATTAAAACAATTATTGAACTTAATTGCAACTATAGTAGTAAAGAAAGGAACAATCAGGATGTTGAAGTTAAGTTTTTATTTCATTACGTTTGTTGCATTTCGAAATTATTTTGTAAAATTTATTTGTACGGAAACACTATTACCTCTCAATGGTAGTATTGTATGTCTATTTTATAATAAAATATCCGTTATTTTCATTAAGAAGCTCTGATAGAAAACAATAATCAACTTGTTGCTATTAAAACTCAGGTATGTTTGAAAAATCGAATTACTTTGATGAAATAAGTAAGCAATTATTATCTAAATTCCAACTATATATGTATAGTGGTGTGTGTCTGTAGGCCGGGTAGTGCGACGCAGCTCACATATCATGAGCTCCTGTCATGATGGCATTGTATTCTAATGAATATTAGAATACAGACGGAGACAGGTCACTTTCCATGTAAAATAAACTCTTTAGTTTATAGTCCGGTAGAAAATTTAAAATTTTAATGTCTCCATCTCACAGAAAATAATACGATAGTATTTAAAAAGTATTGTTTCGTTTAAGTCCTGAAAAATCTAATTTCTTTGTAATATTAAACTGTAATAACGGTAGTTATGTAAAACCGTTAGTAAGGCGGTCCAGATACCGGCTGAGACAATGACAGTGGCTTCCCTTATTTCCTGCGTAGACGAGAGGAAACGTCTTCGTTTTAGCACCCGCACTAACAAACGCGGTTCAAGCTTGCTTTTTATATCGTATTTGTGTTGTTTGGATAACATGATCAAAATCAACATTGTATTACACATTTTATACTCTAATTAAAAAAAAATTGCATGTAAAGATGATAAAATATCAGTGCTTTTTATTCAATTTACTTTAATTTTGATGGAAAAAATTATATCGGAATAGAATATATAATTTTTTCACAATCTCTTATTGTACGAAATATGCCGTTAATCATAGTATTAGATTATAGTATGCATTTATTTTATAGTTAAAAATAAGTGGTAGTTACGTCGTATAATTTATAAGACCCGTATTACATATTTTATATAACATCATCCAGTGGTTATATCCTCCTACGTAATATTTTAAACCGCGACTAAATGCAGCGTGAAATTGACATTTTGACAATTTCCGTCAGACAGGATCCAACGGCGAGGACGGAGGACGGAGCTCAAATCAGACTAGAAACTTTGAATAGTAGACCGTGATCTGGAAAGGAAATTGTGTTCGTTAGACATGACTGACAAACACTTGACTGGTTTAGATTTAGCTTTACTTTATTGGACTTGATTAAGAATTATATTAAGGCCGGCGAGGCTATTACACACCCATATTACATATACCCTCTTACTAAGTTACATGGTCTAATATAAGTCATGTTTTTAAAGGAGTTTCAATTTTTAAGAGAAAATTCGCATAAAATTCAATCGAAGGATCGTTTGGCGGAGCGTCACGCTGGGTGCCCTCACTAACCTATTTAAAACAGCCCTCCGAAACATGACCCTCTAACATTGACATAGAGATCAAAGTCGTGTGACAACAGGCAAGGGGAAGTTTGTAACACCGTGTAATGAAGTGTAAGGCAGTCGCCTTGCTACGGACGAGTTGCTTCAATACCATGAATATAAAGCGTATAAATAAATAGCAGATGCGCGAAAAATTCACCCCGACGATAACAGTCAGACACTTAGCATAATAATCGCGGGGTTGGGGTTGGGGGTCGCGGGTAGGAGGGGGTCGCATAGTAAAATGGGGGTCGCCTCCCTCGAGCTGACACCATTCTCACGCGAACTTCCTTTCTAATGAATGGCTAGCGACGTAAATATGTAAGTCGGTGACATAACACCGACTACAGAGCACAGTTGTGTCGGGAAATTGTTTTGAATTGATTCCCCGAAGACGTGCACGTGGCTTACTTCACTTTACTTTCATTGGAGACTTGTAACGAAGGCTGACGGCGGATGTTTACGGTTCTTCTTATTGAACACAAGATAAATGTTCGTTAATTTATGTTAAATAAAACATTACATTATAATTCGACGGAAATCACTTTAATATTATACAATAAATAAAATACAACTTGTCATAATTTACGTCGTGTTAATTACTTAAAGATTCAGAGACATAAAAACATTAAACATATTAATAAAGTATTTTTATTGAACTTCCACCGAAAGACTCCTCGCTGTGAACATGTCTGTCGTGAAACACGTTACACCTGTAGTTCTGAGTACCGGCCGTAACTTTTATATTTATATAGCTGTAAAATTTATTTATGATAATCCTACTGTAATGTACACAAACAGATTGGTTCAGCTGCACACGACACACGGTCACGAGCCACCCCACAACAGAGCCCCGACCAAAATTTGACAAGGATTGTAGTCCCCGGGCGATGGCGACGCGATCATCAATTACCAAATCCAAATGAAATAATGTAACACTGCGACTCGACTGCACCGCACCGCTCTGCGGCAGCGACTTAATTGGATTCCCTTTAAAACATTAAAAACATTTGTGTTATCTTTAAAGCAGTTTAAAATCTGAAGTGTACTCTTCATTTGATCCAACATATCAAACATATAAAAATGGTTCTTTTAATTCCATTTTGATAGTGTTTTAGTTGTGTATCCCGCTACCGAAGTGGCGTCTCCCAAACAAAACCTAAAGCATACGGATATAGCGTCGATGTTATCAAAGTGCTTTAACATCAAACAACTAAATTTAGTCTAATCAAAGAACATTGTAGGGAGCGAGGGTCCATCTTTGTAGTAAATGTAATTTTTTCACCCTTCGCGGTATAATCAAAGCGGCGGAGACATGTGCGCGTGACGTATCATTTGCGCTTTTGTACGGCGGTCATTAGAGCGGGAGGTAGGAGCCGGGATCTGGGCCCTGGGGCCTGGGTACAGCCCACAGGCCTCCACTGAGGGGATGGAGTGCATCTGATTTGTTCAGCTGTTATATACATTCATACAGGCTGCGATAGTTATCAGAAATGACTACGCATAATGGAATAATCAAATAACTAAATGATTAAAATCCTCACTCTCGTAACTGTTAGTTTCCTCGTAATGTTAAATGATTTTTCCTATAAATGTCATGACGTCAACAAGCTCTGATATTCCACCTCAGGCTGGGGATCACTCGCCACTGACATCATACATTATCGCGATCTAAAATACTATTTATATATGAATGACTCCGCTGTTTCACGCATTTGATTGTACTACGGCGAGGTTGACAATGAATTATTATATTATATAAGTTGCTCTTATCGGACACATCTGAGTGAACAATGTAATTTACGAGGTATGTAGCAGCTGATATAAAATATACTGACAAATGTAGGTTGTGTATGGACAGTTTAACAACGTGTAATACAATACAATAGATATGAGTTAATTGGGTGTAGGATTTTAAAGACCTTAGTTAACAAAGGTGTAACATTAATCCCTATCAGACTTCACTAAGCCCTATCATAGTCCCTGAGTGTTAATTTGTCATATGATAAGATCTCCGCACCCTCGATTGCTGTTACTATATGCGTTCAACGATATATCTGCTTTAAAATATATTTTTATATAACAAGTTCTTATGTTATATATAATATATATATATATATATATATATATATATATATATATATATATACTATCGTTATTAAAGTACTTTATCCAAGTAAATAGAAACAGTATGTTTATAAAATTTTATCTGTACGTGTGTTGGAACATGACTCGTCTTACAATGAACAACCTACTTGTGTGTATTGCTCGTTATTATTATTATGATAAATATATCGATTTATGTTCGACGTTGAATCTCTGAAGCTGCGGTAAGCTTCCCACGACACAATACTTTATTATAGAACTTTATCATATTTTATTATATTTATATTCATATAAAACACGTAGCCTTAAGGTCGGGTGTAAACTAAATATTTTATTATTATCAGACAATACATAAAGTTCTCGTCGTTCGTCTCGATATGAGGTACCAACTGTATAAGACATCGAATGTTCAAAAATACTTTCGATTGTATGCATACAGACAAATTGCGTCGCTACATTGTAATATTGGCGCGGTTCAATGTCCGAAATCGGCGCGGGCGCGACCTTGCTGTGTCTCACCTACATACGCCAACTTTTGCTTTCTCGCAAAAAATATGCGCACGAAGAACCTAGTAAAACAGGTGCCGAAACACTTGTACTTCTTCATATATTATACTATACTACATTCATAGTTGCTAATATATATAGTTTTATCCTTTTAATATTTATTTTGGAGGATTTACAAACATATGTATGTATATTTTTCCAACAAACGTTACAAAGGGACGAACTATTATATTTGACCTTCAAAACCAATTCGATCCCTTGTAAATGTTTGAACGTGCCTTTAAACTTTTGCTAAGAAAATGTTCATAAAAAATTAGGTCAATAAGCGACAAAGACCCTCTTAGAAGTGATAAAGAAATAACAAAAGGATCTCCATGTGTGCGTCTTGAAGGGCGAGGGTTCATCCTTGACGATCTGACACTCCACCCCCAACGATATGGGAAGGAATTTAAGATCAGGCTTTGAATTAAAGGATAATATGAACTAATGCTATGGAATAAGGTTCATATTATCATCACATCGCAGTGTATAACTTCTATTACGATTACCTGAGGGTTTAACAGCGAAAGGTTTACAAAACGAGTTAATTGAAAGCTTGCTTATAGAGATGAATGTTGTGAGTGTTCGTTTCGATATTCTGTAAACACAAATATCTATATGCTGGAAAGATATATATAGGATCTAAGAATTATTACCAACCAATCAGTCAAGTATAGTAAAGTATTCATGATAAATATTCGTTAAGCAACACGGACAGTTTTTATTTTCTTCAAACGTTTTACAATAAAAGTTAAATTATTCCTCCATCCGCTACATAATACAGCGTCCAGTTACGTGCCATGAATGTCACACGCCGAAAATAATAATTGTAATGCGTATTGGACGGTCGGTGGTCGGTCGGACGGTCGGTCGGTCGGGTAGCGCAGCGACGTGACTCGTTGCGTCACTGCACCGAGCAGGGCATTGCACCTTATGTCGCTCACAGTCAACGAGCGACTAGCGCCGTCCCGTTCTAACTATTCACTACTTGATGTGTCCTCGCATGGAATCGATTACTAGCAATCAACAGCTGATTGTCATAACACTAGACACATTACATTACGAGCTGGTGTCAACATACGTGCACCGCTACCAAAATAACTATCGAACTGTAAATTAACTTGTTAATTTTATTATTTCCAGTGGCGTGGCGGTGCTGAGTCCTACGGAAAGCGGTGGGTGCAGCGGTAGTGACATCACTGAGCCTCGCTCGCCCCGGAGCCCCGAGTCGGGGTGCAGCACGAGTGAAGAAGGCGCTGGCGTGCGCATGCCGCCTTGGGCGAGCGATCCGGCGCCGCCGGGCCCGAGACGCCTCGCGGCTCAACCCGCGCCCCTCCGGCGACCCAATCCACCTATACATCGCCGCATTACAGAATACTTCAATCATAAAATGAAGCCACAGAACGGCGTCAAGCGTGACTCGACTTTAATTAGTAACGATGACAGCAAGAAAAAGTGTTTACCTAAGAACGGTGTCACGCACGATCTCGAAAAGTACATTTCGTATTTATCTCAGACGCTAAATCCAAAAGTTCTAATTGATGTCGAAAAACCAGCAGATTCTATGAAAAAGCCTGTCAGTCAAACAACAAATTTCAATACTGATGTAACTAAAAATGGTCTACATAAAACGGCTTCATCTATTAATATTAATACTTTAAGAGATCGTATCAAACCTAAAGACAATAAAGACACTCACACAATGAACGGTTTGGTAGAGGTCCGGCACGGCAATGAGACGTCCAACAAAGAAAAAAGTTTTGAGGGCTTCTTTAATGGGGTAACTGTTAGCAGAATACCTAACGCTAAAGTAAACCAAGGTCCATCCGCTATAACACCAGTAAACCATATTAACAAATGTAAGATTCCAATTCCATCTCAAAATGAATTGGTGGGAATGAGGATAGCTCCGGCAAAGCCCATTAACCAATCACCCAAGAAACAAGTGAATCAAAAACCTGATACAACACATCTAAATGGAGTCGTGAGTTCCACGACCAAGCTAGATAGTCGAATGAACGGGGTTACCTGTGGGTCTAACAACTTAAATCTCATGAACAAACCATCTACAGCAAAGAAGGAACCTGCTAAGAGAAATTTACAACCCAAGAGAACCAATCGCAAATCATCAGCTTGTATAGCTAACAGCAAGAACCTGACTTGGTCGAAGGCTAATAATCTTAAACAGGTACAGTTACAGAAACAAAATTGTAGCAAAATTATTCCAAACACGCCTGTTAATAACAATGTACCAGGTGAAGCAAGCACTGCACCAAAGATGCAAATCCCAAATGGAGTAAGACAAGTATCGATGGCAGTGAACGGAAATATAAGCAATATAAACGTGCCTGTGACTAATTTTCAAAACTGTCATTCATTGAATATTCCACAACCCTGTAATGGGACGGTAACCTCCACCAATTTGGCTTCGTTCGTCGCTGTTCCTCATAACGTAATGCTTACAACACTTCGAATACCCCAAAACGGTTTACCTCCGCAGACATTGAACCAACAAGGTAATATGGCTTTTAATCGTCAAAACGTCAACGTGACAAGTCCGACTAAATTAAACGGTCAATTCGTTTTCCCGTTGGTTCAGAATATTAACGGAACCGTCGTTCAAATACCAAATTTAATGGCGAAGATGCCGAATTTCGTTCTTCCGCAAACTCCTCAAATAACAACGCAGAGACAAGATCATCTACAAAACCAAACTTTAAACCAATTTCTCATTAATGGTACTCTATTGAAACTGGCAAATACGATGCCACCTACCTATACAACGGCGAACAAATCTGGTCCAGTCACTAGTCAGCCACTACCAGTAATTAACAAGAATGTGCCTGGTCTTCAAGCTGTCGGAATGTCAGTTCAACCGAAACAAAACTTCACAGTGAACCTTAGCCATCCGATGTTAGTGCCTCAACCAGGATTCATTGTAACATCTGTGCCAAATATGAGTGTGAAAGAAACGTGGAGTTACACCGGTACCCACTCGGTGGCCTCGTCACAAATATCGTGTTCGAGTCCAATTGTACCACAACAGCCGGCGATGGTTGCCAATTTTATGAATCAAAATCTACACTCGAGTAGTATTCCTATAGCCCCCGTGAAGCCTCCAGACAATCCGATTCAAGGTACAGAACCGCCCAGTAGTACTGTTAAAGAGACGGAAATTAATGATATTGCCAATCAAAAGTGTGATATTCCATGGCTGTCAAAAACTGTGAACAATAATATTGTTTCTTTAGATACTAATAAGTTAACGAGGCCTTTTGCACAAGTTAGTAGTTCAGGGAATCTTAAAGATTTCGGCATAGAGAAGGTCGGAAAGAAACGAAGAGCGAGTAAAGATTTACAAAAGGATTTTAAAGTTGGTAGTACGAGTGAAATAAGAAAAGTAGAAGAAGTCGCCAGAAGGGAGGAGACAATATTTACACAAATAACCGTATTGAAGGATGTTTCGTCTAATGTCCAAAGTTCTGTTATTGAAGCAAATTTCTGTAGTGCTACTACAGAGTCTTCAGAGTCCGGTATAGGAACCGATAAGTCTATTGACTCGCCCAGCGACTCCCAGGCTAGCAAAGAGTGTGACGATGACTCCTCCTTATCATTAAGTATCAGTGTGAGTTCCGTCGAAGCTCAGAGTAGTCAAAAAAGTCCTATACTGAAACAACCTAAAACATTACGGTTTCCACCAAGAAGTATTATCAAACCTCAAAGCGATAAGAGAAAATCAAGCACTGATACGACGTCGGTCACGATATGCTTATGGGAGAAGTGTAAGCAGGAGTTGGAGAGTGATAGCGATCTTCTGGAACATCTGCAGGTTGGTATAAACATGTTTCTATTTAGCTAACAATTTCTTAGTGTATCGCTTATTATATGATACTAGAAGACCCGGCGAACTTCGTATTACCCTGTAATTAAGAAATATCTGTTACGTTTTTTTATTTATCTTTTTGGAGTTTACCTATTAAAGCCATAAATCTCCGTGTTTTTAAGTGCGACAGAATGATTGACATATTAATTAGTTGTCAAATCTAATGTCAAAAAAAAAACGTTTGTATCAACAACTACTAATAAATTAAAAATTAATTAAAAAAACATTGTCCAGCGGACAAAATTGTGAATCTAAACCACTGACAAAATTGTAAATTTCATCAAAATCGGTCGAGTCGTTTGAGAGAAGGTCAGTGACATACACACTCACAGAAGAATTATATATAAAGATAATCTTCCCAATGATTTGAAAATTGTGAATTTAACTATATTATTTGTCATTTCCCCACTTAAGTCTGTCCACGTGGAGTCCCAAGCTGGTCAAGAGAACTACGTGTGTCTGTGGGAGCGCTGCAAGGTCCGCGGCAAGCCTTCGTGCTCTCGACTATGGCTGGAGCGACACGCTCTCTCACACGGCGGGAACAAACCGTTCAAATGCATCGTCGACAGTTGCGACAGAAGATTCTCTACTCAGGTACAATTACGTTTCTACACGTATTATAATAACACCATCTTGATAGGAACCAGCGCGCACATCGCCAAAACGAAGCTACAATAACGTGCATCGACGGATTGAATGAGTTATTGTCTATATCGTTGTGACGTTGTTCGTACTGTTTGTTATTTCAAAGACCGTGTTTACACATTCGGAGTTCTATTGCAGTCTCTTCGCTTCGGCCAATCACTTAACATCCAAATGCTGTTCTTGCAACTTCGTTTGGGTGTTTGTGTAATATTATTTCGAATCTCTGAAAACGGACGGTAGTTTTAGATTATTATTTTTCTGTTACCTGTTTGTGTATATCCTCTTCAAATCAAATCCAATCAACGTTAAATTGATTGGGTCATATTGTACTCCCAGTTTATGTTAAGGTTTTCTTAATTTTCTTCATAACATTTTTACATGAATACTTGGTCACAAAAGTTTTGTATCGTGTCCTCATGGCTCATGGCGGCATAAAACAAAATTTTTCGATCTGGCTGTATTAATCGTTATTCTTCTTGGTTTTTGTTTCACGTTGTTTCAATTAACTCGTCTCAAAATTATTATGTTGTTATATCTCATGGGATATTGATTTGAGGATAGCTTTCGTCTTCCATATTAATCTGATGTTAAAATTGTTTCTGTGTTTTCTGTTCTAAGGTTGAAGGAGCCACCAGTACCTCTACAGTGCCACTTGTTTATTTATATTTTGTTTCTCGACTACATTTTTCATTTACATATTTTTCAAAGTATAATTTTCATTTAACTTCAATCAGAGGACGTCTCGCCGGTTACTTTACAGGATGCCTAATCAAGTATTGTGTAGAATTAAGCGACGACGATAGTATTTGAACACTACATTTTCAAAAATGTTTTGTACTTATATATGTATACATATAAAATCAAAAATAATAATTGGCGAGTAATATATGTTTATGTTTCATAAACTTATCGTTCTCTCACCATATGTTCAAAGCAAAAAATAATTTTCATGTCAATATTTCCAGATATTGCTCGAACGTCACGTGAACAACCATTTCAACGAGGCGACTCCAAACACGGGGAACGGGAAGAAGACCGCAGACAGTTCCGCTAAGATGATACGACGGAATGGAAAGAAACTCAGATATAGAAGACAACCATGGTCTGGTAAGAACTTTATTATACTCAACATACAAAAAATACAGCTTATGTAGGCTAAAAAACATAAGCGTGACAAGGTATAAGAATGAAAAATCCTCAAATGAAGATATCATTTGAGGATTTTTTAATAATTAATTTCTGACAGCCACCGGTCCTAAATTTCATGCAAATATGGTAAGAATTGTATATCAAGAGTAAGAAGTACAAGAATTAAGGCATGTTGAGTTTAAAACTATTTAGGTGGTCTTTGTTGATTGATTTTTACATAAGCGACATGTATTTTTAACAACATGGCTTAGCTCCAAAACTTAAAACAATAAAATTATGTACAGAAAGAGACATTTATTTATCTTATACTATATTATTTCTTAATAAATGTTTGCGTCAATTGTAGGACATTTAACAATATTCATATTTATAATTCCAGCCCGCATGTTCGACTTCTTCGACTCCGGTATGATGGAGGGTCTAGCTTGGAGACTCGCCCGCAGTACTCGTTGGCGGCTCGGCGGGTTCTGTCCTCTGAGGGACGGCGGCGGGCACACGCTCACACTACACGCCGCGCTCACAGCTACACGATACAACCCGGCCACCGCCGCGCGCGAGGCGCTACTGACATACTACCCGCCGCATGTGTGAGTATTTTGACCTTGATGACTTGGGGGGGGGGATAGTATAGGAGACATTAAGTGATGAAGCATTGGTTGTTTAATAGCTTGTTTGAAATGGTTTAAAATGCCGTGTGAGATACATATGGTGTATGTGTGAGTGTGTCAGTAGTAGTGGTGGTCGGGCAAGGCGAGTGAGGATTAAGACAGGCCGCGTGATCATATATGTATGTTTATACTTTGAATTCTATGTATGTATGTATGTATGTGTCTGGGGCTTGGTTTGGAAGAGCTTGGATGTAACCAGCGGTGATAAGATATGAGTTACATTAAATGTGTACATACATATAGTAATGAAAAATAGTTTAGGGTAGAATTGTGTTGGTATATATTATAACTAAACTATCTACATATATGATGGTTGGTATGCACACAATAATAGTAGAGGAATGGAAAGTGTGAAGATTTTTATTTAACGAATACTCCAACTTACAATATAATTAAGAATATCATAATTTTGTTATTTTATTGATATAGATGACCATTCAAATATTTAACAAAGATAAACATTTTAAATGCATTCACAAATAGTTTGGAGTCTAAAGTACAGAAGCATGTACTAATAATATGTTGTATCAAATGTAAATACATTATACTCAATATCTACTTAACGGATGGTTTGATATTAATATATGTATCTAATACTTCATATATATTCCATAATATTTGTTCTTGACCCACGTATAGTCTGTATGGTCACGATATATTTTTTCAGGTAAGCATTTTGGATGTTTATTACGAGTTTTGTTCAAGTATCGAATATATTGAGGGGAGTGTGGTTTTGGTTTATACAGGATGTTCATTAACTTAAAAACCATATTAATTATATAACGGTTAATTCATTGGATTATATTAATGAATTAATACATATTACCTACATTTACAGCCCCAGTAACGGTATTAAACTATATTATATATTAGAGCAGGTAATACAGGTGGGTTATGTTCAGACGTGTCTTCATCACCGACTATACACGGACGTTATAGATTAATACTTCATCTATAGATATATATTACATCCTTAGATCTCATCTATCTATAGATATATAGACGATTCTGTTGTTGGTGTTGTGTTTATAGTTTATTACTGCACATTTTATTGTTTTTATAAATATTTTTACTATACCAAGTTGAATTTATGCTTTCTCTAGGATCATATGCATTGATCAATACCAGTTAAATTGATTTTGTATATAATGTTATGTATATTTATTAAATGTATATCAATATGTATGTAAGATTTAATTTGCAGTAAATATTTTATATAATAGTATGCAACTGATCCTATACTTTCATCTGTATTGTATAAGATTATTCATATTTTCATTTAGTTACTTTAACAAAAGATATCAAAGGACCAAATACATGATCTATTGAGGTTATACAGTTTGAATGACCGAAGCATTTGATTCCGTAGTCAAGGAGAGAAGGGTGAAAAGTATTACTTACAACATTGTTAAGATATACAATGATTAAATTAATTGTAACAAGTGTCGCCATCTGTGCGTACTAATTACATTACTAAGTTACTTAGAATTATTTTTAATTAATTATAATTCTGAACTATTGTAAATTTGTAATGGCAACGTTTAAGTATTAATTTGTTTTTGAAAACTGTAAATACTGGTTTCAACCATTTTGTAGGAAGCTACTAAAAAAACGCCAAAGATTGAAAATTAAAACTGAAACTGCAACTCAAACATTATATTCATCATTATAATAAAAATGAATACTGAAAATACTGGCTATTTTATGAATATTAAATAATTTATTTATAATAACGCAATCATAGCGAACGTGAAAAGTATGATCTATTGATATGAACCCTTTTTTATTAAGAACCTATAATGGCTACGGAATCCAATATAATGTGTTAAATATACTGAATGATTGTCAATATAACATGCAGTTGATCCTTACGCTTGTTTGCTAACTACACACCACACCAGGCCACACGGAAGAATAAGGAAAAAGTTGCTAGCATTATGTATCACTGATTACTGTAAAATAAGGGCAGTTAAATTGTAAAATATGTTCTATGTTCTATTATATTACAAAAAGTATTTATGAGCAAATGATTCGGTCCCCGGCACGTTGCTAGCAACTCGCCGGTTGCCAGCCCTACGTTTGGTCTCTTGGTATTAACACGGCTTGGGCTGTAATGAACTCTAAACCATAACCACGTTTTCTGTTCAGCATGATCGTTGACTGTCTTAGCTCGCTTGAAGCCTGCATGGATCATTTCATAGTAGGCTAAATCGGGCTCGCAACCCAACAAACTGCAAACACACTCCCGCCCGTAAAAATACCAATCTATTCGAACTAAACAATCCTTATAATATTCGTGTTCCAGCGTGTTTGCAGTCACATTCTGTGTGGCGATACCCTTATACAGTATTAACGGACGTTATGTTTCAGTATCGAGGACGAGTGGGTGCCCGAGGAGGAAGTGAAACGAGTCAAACGCGTGGAGATCTCCGAGCTACCGATTCATACCAAGGTGCTGCTGTATGAAGAGTTCTGCAACTCATACAAGAAGACACCGCCGCCGCAACCCAAGAAGACGCAACCAACCGCGACACCCGTTCGACTACTACCCGCGAGACAATGCACCTCCTCGCGACTACTCAACAACCTGATAGCAAAACAACGCAAGGAAAGAAACGACTGCAGCTCCACCGGCCTCCCGCCGATATACGACGAGGAGAGAGACAGAGATAGAGAGAAGAGTGACAGAGACCGAGAGAAGAGTGACGTCACCGGCGCCAAGAAGAGGAAGATGGGCCGGAGGTACGGCGGGAACGCGTTCTGGCCCTGCGGACGATAGGACGATACTTCAAACAAGACTGATACTTATATGACATGGACGCGCCTGTACATACATATATGTATAAAGATATGTAGTTAAGTTAGTGTAAGCACGACCAGCGTCACGATCACTGCCACGTGTACATAGTATAGTGTCTTTTATTTTCGGCTTGTATTTTTTTAGTTGGAGCTAGCTTAGGTCGAGTTTTGATGTCGAGTACCACCAAGTGCCTCCTACATCACGGTTCTGCCATGGCAGTGTTCATTTTGTACGAGGTTTATACAAGTAGTCGTATCTAAGCGTTTACATTAACATATGTTTTATAGATCGTTTTGGACGTTCCTTTATGTTATGGTTTCTCCAGTGTGATCCGGTGCGATGCTGCCATTAGTTAAGTCTCCGTACGGTTAGCAATAAACATGTGATAACATATATCGATTTGAACGCACAATATTAAAGCAGTATGTTTTGTAACTGATGTATGGCTCGAAATGAATTGTGTGATGGTGGAAGGCGTGTCTTCATGTGAGATGTATCAGTGGCGCCATCTCGTTGGGAGTGAATCTTTGTCTCAACTATAGAGTAACTGGCGAAATGGTTTCACTGATACACTCGAGTTAACATTGTGTAAGAAACGAAGGGAAGTTTATGAATTTTAAATAAAATTTTCCCTTCGTTTCCTAGGTCATTGTATTAAATTGAAAGATGTAAAGCGTTGAAGCGATCCGTTCGTTATGATATATCACGTTTAATGTATTAGTTTGATAGTTACAACGTAACTCATAGTATGGGGACGGATCGCTTCATCGCTGTCATGACGGCATGTCCATAGCAGAATTATTAGTGAATTTAGTCGTTTAAAAGTTTTTTGGATGGTTCTATACAGAGTTCGACGCCTTGTTAGCGTAAGATATACATTTGGATGTCGAATAAACAATATTGTGTTCTGTGCTCACGCGATCTCGCTAGTATTTTTAGTTAGTGCCTATAGTGTTAAGTTAGAAGGAATTCGTGTGGTTAGGTTAGTGTTCCCGACGACAGACGGATGTATTGTTGTAGGGTCGATTGATAAGTGTACAGCGCCCTCTAGCGGCGGAGAAAGGAGAGCGAACGGTGACGGAGTCGTGTAAGGCTTTGATCGTATGGGGGTATTTGACTATTAGGTAGCTGTTGAATATAAAGTGTATATATTAGAGAAAAGTACAAAGTATGTCTAATTAGGCCGTTTCTGTACTTAGATGGAATGTTAGGCTGGTCGCGATAGTCGATTACCCCTCTACTAGGCGTGTAAAGAATATGTAAAGTCACTTATGTGTAATAGGAAATGTAAAGTGAGTAGCTTCGGGATCGTATCGTACACCCGTCTCTGTCACACGGCATACAGTGTGAGCGAGACGGAGGATGCCTTCCTGGATATATTCCTAGTAGGTATGCACCCAAAGAAGAGTTAGGAAAAATTGTCAAATAGTCAAGTTGGTGCCTGAACGGAGCGTGTTGACGGTATCTTTATACTTACAGATAGATTTTGGAGATCTTCCAAATGTACTGATTATTTTTTTTATGAAATTAGAATCGAAATACCTAGTTTAATTTATTCAAGCACTGATTATAGTGCCATATTGTATTGGCTCGCTTTACGTAAATTATTTTAATAGTCAAATTCGACACCAAATTCATTAAGACAGGTTGTTGTGTCCGCGACGTGACGATGAAGCAATAACTGATATACCGACTACCCTCAGCGGGCGAGGTTGTTATGGACCACTCTAGATATTTGGCCTATAAACATACGCTTGAGTACAAATTTTTTAATTTCGCTGTAATGTTAAGTCGAAAATTTTAGTTAATCGTAACGTTTCTAGGAACTGATATTAATAAAAAAATGAAACTATAGCTTAGATTAGCCGTTCGAAGAGAGATATTTTGTGATTGTACCTTGCCGGGGAGCCCGGGACTATGAAGTAATGTTAAGATAACCACTGCCACAGCCGAGCTGGCGTGTACACTTGCTCATGAGTGTATTGTGTTTTATTATTATTATTATTACCCCGAGATAATTTCGCGAACAAGTTATTGTTAGGGACTTAGCTTAACCGAGTGACTGAATCGCATTTCCCCGGTAGTTCCTGTGTAGGCGTGAAACATATTACGACTGCGTTATTTGTACAAACAGATGAAGCCTGGCCGAATGGCTTGTGACACCGGGATTAGACAAATGGTTAGTTAAATATGTATGGTGAGCCAGGCTTCTATATGATTGTAAATAGTTAAGTATTTATTGGTAAGCATTGCGTCAGAGGTAATCTGCTTCGCGCCGGGAAGTACCGCGCACACATACACACATCGACACGTGTGTGTGACTGCCCTACTAGCGATAATAAGGAAGCCTTGTAACCCGAATAGTGTGCACTACTTATATTCAATTTGTAGATATTTAATTATATATAGTATAATGTTTAACGCATTCTTATTTTGCTTGGACCGTTCGTGGTGGCATCCGAAAGTTAATAATAATTTGACCCCGCGGCGGGGTATCTACCTCAAATAATTTATCACACGTTTGGGCATAATATAGTGTTGAGAGACGAACACTGTTCATGTAGTGATTGTAAGACCTTTTATAAAATGATTTGTCCACATGTCACAAGTACTGTATCTTATATTAAATACATATTGTATGATTGATTATGAACGCTTTTATTTACCTTCTATACCTGCTAAATTACATACTATGTAGAAAGATTTTTTCAATATACTGAGTAAAGAACAGATCAGTAAATATATGTTTCATTCATATATGGCAGTAGTTATTGAAGCGAAACTTCTAATGCAATTCAGTCAAGGTTGCGTTAAACGTTCAACGCTCTTAGGAAGGGAAATAGAAGGAGACAGAATGAGAGTAAGGTTGGGTTAATTGTGAATTATAAGCAATGTATATAGTTTTTATTAAAGAAAAAATATGAGTTCAATGAAACTTGATGTCTACTCCTTCTTTAATAGAAATGATAATTCTTTTCCACATTAAAAAGGTTCACCTCCTAGCGGAGGTATTACAGACATTATTTTTTGTAACGACTCCTTAAGAACACTAAAGATAAGGTGTTATAAAATTATCATTTTTTTTTTTTTAAACTTATTCACAATTAAGAGAAATTTAATAACAACCAACTAATTAAAATTGTATTAAGTAACTTTTAATTAATATAATGGTAAAAAATATGTTTTCAAAGTTAAATTGCTATAATTTTTGAACAGGCGTTAAAAAATTTAATGTTGAAAACTACATAATCAGAATGATGTTAATTGCTCATATAATAAAGAAAGGAACATAAAGTAGATGTCAGTTAAATAAATAATGAAATAAATGTAATACAATTATTATTCTCTGTCATAAAATGTTATATTGACTTTGCTTATTTACGGATTATGAAAAAAAAAAAATCTATCATCTTTGCAAATTCCAACAAAGTTTCCAATTTCTTAGGCATAAGTTTTCTTTTCAACAATAAAGCCGACAAGCGAAAAGTTTGAACATAACGCCGGGAATGTTAACGACGAGTATTTCACAAGGCAACATGACACGGCCAGGGGTCGCCAACCGCGGGCCGAGAATATTCACGGACACGTGCACTTCATTATGTATTACATGTATGATAATGATGCAAATAAAAATATTAAAACAGTCATATGGAATTTTATTTTAAATAAGGTATAATATATTTCATTAAGACGTATACATAAACTACAACTACCTAAGAATTTAGATACCAAGTTGACCACTATAAGCCATTTATGACAAAGTTTCATTAAAGCAAATTGTCTTATTCAATAGAAGTTTCATCTCAGTACTGTGAGTTAGATGCCCTCCCTGAAGACTTGAAGCATTGAACTTAGATAAGCTATTTGATTTGTATATAATTCATAACTTCTGAAATAAATTAACGAATCAGATGACAAAATATTAGAAGTAGATATAAAATAAAATGTAAACCACTAATTAAATACAGAAATCCTTTAATATTCAGGAAACCTTAATAATAATTATAATAAATATAAACCAGTAATTGTTATAATAACAACATGTCACAAGCTCTGTAAAACTAACTGCTTCGTCAGCTTTACACCTCAGGCGGCAAGCGACCCGCTCCGTACAACACTCCGACCCATACCAGCGATACAAACACACTTGTGAGTATTATATATTACTTAATATTGTAATAAAATCATTTAAAAATACTTATAACTTAATATAAAGAATATTTAGAAGTGGATTATATATATTGGATAACATCCTGAAATTTTATTAACGCTTTTAAGCAAAACTAACTAAAGTTTTCATGTAGAACCATTGAATCATCATTTATCTACAATTAATTATTGATTTAGTTACATTTAGAGCACAATTATCGAAGAGAAGATATTCAGAGAAGGTTTTATCTAATGTTAAGGGCTGAAATAGCCATTACCTCACAGTCACGTAGTCTTTGAGTACAACGTGTGATGTGACGTAGTGGAAGTCTCGGCCTGGATCATACAACAATAGGCGACGGAATCTGGATAATATTGACCCTGGCAGACCCTGGCTAAAGCTGGGAACTTGCCAGGAAGAAGATTGACCCACGACCACTCAGAGACGACTCATATAACAATTAATACTGTCAAAAGTAATGTACATATTCAAAAACAGAGTTTAAATAGCCTAACTTTATTATTATATGTTGATACGTTTTGTTAATGTTTTAATCCTATCATTATCTCATTGTATCTGTGAACAATCCCCGCGTGAAGTTCCGTAACTCATTAAGAAACTTTAGATTAGAAACAGTTCAAGAATTTTCATATTTAAGTTTAAGCTGACTCCAGTCTCAACAACTTGTTATACGAAGATTTAGTTTAATAAACTGTTGTTAAAACTAACAAAACCAATCAATTTTATTCTGTGAATTTTGTTCAATATTATTTATAGTTTTTCTTTGTAATTTTGTATATTTTTTTGTCATAGTAATGCTAAGTAGATTGATATTTTTTTTACCATTATTTTTGTTATGTACGTGACTGCATAAGAGTGTACAATTTCGCAAAGCTAATAATTCGCGGAGTGCAGAGTCGGTGTGACGACATCGCTACCTCCAGTAATCTGATACTCTGATAAAATAAATCGCAACACCGTTACTTATTATTACAAATGTTTCATTTTAATGATTACCATCCTTTTTAATGCATATTCATTTATATGATTCAAATATAATTTATAAACAAAGTTTTAGTTATGATTTTTAAAAAAATCTTGATTATTAGGTGAATTTGTAATTCAATTCAATTTTAAATACATAAATGCAAATCACTAATTGTATGATCCTTGCTTAATTCTTGATATAACGCCACTTTTTTTTTAGTTCATACATATTATGTAATATTAAAAATTTTAAGTTCAAATCAAAAATAAATTATACATACTACAGTATAAAATCCCTCAGGTATAATTTATAAATTTAATTTTATGTGCTGTTATATTGATATTATATGTATAGACATGCATTTTTCTACTTTCCTTTTAATCTTTCATCTTCAATACTTATTTCTTAACATACTTTTCACTATTGTAAAGTTAAAGTAATTGAATAAATATTTTCTTGCTTAAAAAACCAATCAGTTTTCGTAGTTTTAAACATATTTCAACGTTGTTTGTTTTGTATAGCTGTTGTTTCTTCCAACATAAAGATGTCACTTATGATGAATGACCCAAGTTAGACATCGCGGGAATTAAACTTGTTTTTTGATATCAAAAACTTTTAGCTGAAAATGGCTCAAGCATAATTCAGCCGTTTCAAAGTAATTTTAGAATCATCGTGATTTATGTTAATACAAGAGATAATTAAAATCTTAGAGGAAAAAGCTTTTGTTATTTTTCGTTCGTAATCAAAGTTCTAAGAAACGGTAAGACACAGTAATCACGGTTTATTATTCAGAAGTAAATTTATATTTTTGTTGAGAATATTTAATAATATGAAGATTCGATGAAATAGAAAATAATTCCACTTCAACATTGTTATGTTATGGAAAATCCAAGTTTATTCCCAAAGATAATTGGATTACGAAATTTTGTGACTAGAAATAGATGTACATACATGTACATATATATGTAGCTGAGTTTTTTGTCTTAATTAAATAAGTCTTTAAGTTATTACAATCAGATATATGATTATTAATGTGACAATATTATTTATTATTTAAAATTAAATTTACATTATCTATTTTATAACGAATTGTCATATATATAACATACAATAAAAGAAAGACTATGGTTTATGTATTAATTAACTTTTTTGACGATTTTGAACAGTTTAACAAATATAACCAGATAAAATTAAGCCCTATTTATAGAATGTTTTTACTATTCAATGCTAGAAAAGTTTTAACAAAACTTACGAAAAATAAAAAGTTTATTTACTCTAATCTATATGAATAGTTTGTTTCAAAGACCCTAAAGGTCGAAGTCGTACCTTTAACTAACCATCAGACATATATTTCATTAGACTTTTAAAAATGTAACGTTCACCTCTGAAGCAACCTGTAGATGACTCGGGACACCTTGAACGACCTACAGCCAAACAAAAACATTCTTCATTAATTTTATATTCCTTATTACAACATTTTACTTATTGTTTTTATAGCCAATCCTTTTAGTTTGATCAAATATATTATTATTATTTCCTTATTTTTGTCGCCTATATAGCCTATCCTAATAATATTATAATTGCGAAAGTTTGTGAGTGTGTGTGTATGTTTGTTACTTCTTCACGCTCAAACGGCTGAACCGATTTTGATAACATTTTGTATACAGGAAGCTGACGTCCAGGAATAACATATAGGCTACTTTACATCCCGGAAATCCCGAAAATCCCGCAAATATGCGGGTAACACCGCGGGGCGCAGCTAGTATGATTATAAAGAGCTATGTGTAAGTAAGTGATTGTTAAGATTTCAAAACCAATGTATTCGGATATTTTAGTAAATTGAAGTATGTATTGTAGAATAAAATTCTAATAGTCTGTCGGGAGTCGCGAGAGCTCGACAAGTTCTGTTTATAATACGATAGACTTGTGATTGAGATCGAAATGAATAGTTAAAAAGACGATATTTAACATAAAAATGTATAGTTACATAGCGTTTAGCTTATCTTTAAGTATCTATGATACTGGCATCAGTTTAATATGATACAATAACTTATTACAATAGAAATTTAACATATATACTTAAAAATGAATTATAATTAATATCACAAACCACTTTTCCACGTGTGTTTCTATATTATCTGCACGATATTTGATAGTATGAAGGAAGGTTTTTTCTGTATCTTTACTTGTGTCAAATCATCTTAGCTATCGCTCACCCTTGTGCTAAAGAAATCAATCACGAACCCTCCTTAGTGAGACGGATTATGTAGGACTCGATTCAGATCCCAACAGTTGACATCTTAGGAGTTAAATTTACGAACATTTGGATATAAATAAATGCTTCAATATTTCAAAGTAATTTATAGTAACCCAATACTCTGAATGATAATATTACAGTTATAAGTAACGATCGTCTTTGATTTATTATAGTACTCACTAATTATTTTTATAAATATCTGTAGTCTTGTATCTAGTCTTTGCATTTTACCGTCGGAACAGTCGGAACTTTGTAAATTCGGTAGAGTGAGTCATTTTATAATCACATTGTTAGTTTCTGTGATGTATCAATCATAATTGTGTATTAAACTAATTTGTAGGAATTTTTAAATTGTTTTATTTGTAATTACTATTCTTTTAAATATATATATTCTTCCTTTAATAAATATAATTGTTTTATCGTGTTTGTATCAGCAATAGATGTAATTGAAGTTAATATTTGAGTTATTAATAAAGGTTGCTCGAGGGCATGACGCCTCCGTTGTCGCTAGGCAACGCTGCATCAATCGATAACATCGACTGGGGGATACCAGATACCGGCAGTAGGGAAGAGTTATAAGAACCTTCACCTTGAAGCTTACACTGGACAGTAAGATGATCGTTACGGTAATGATGATGCTACATTCACAGTTATCACAGCTTTGTAGTATTTTTTTAGAACGTAAAAAGCAGTGTATATCTATATTTTTTATATAAAAGAAAGTCGTGTTAGTTACACTATTTATAATTCAAGAACGGTTGTACACATATGGTTGAAAATTGTGATCGCTTAGAACTAGATGGACATAGGATATTTAATTCTGTTCGGTCGAAATAGAAAAAAAATATATAAATGCCTATATCTGGTTATTTGTGGCTTCTAGGGCGAAAAAGAGTTCGCAAGGTCAGCTATACATTTATTACTAATTCCGAAATTCACTACCAGTCGCGACCAAACACTAGAAGTATATAAAAATACGTAAAACATGAAAACATTTTTAATAATCATTTATATGTTTAACCTTCTAACTTTTTCCATACACTTGTACGCGCTATGGAAAACTGAGCTCCAAAAAAAATTCATTTCATTAAGCGACAAGCCATTCTACAAATTGGGGACATTTTTCGTTGAATTTTTTTGTGATTTCGGTAAGAGTCGAGATATACTTTCGATTTTATAAGGACAAAGTGGCGTCGTCTCTTAGAATTTATTTTAACACGAAAGATCCTTTTGAGGATAACAAGGTTGTAAGGTCGTTTGTATAGAAATAGAAGTTACATTTAGGATCATGTTCAAGATACGTTTATTCTTGTTCTACCTGGCAATTTCCCAGCTTTAGCCAGGGTCTGCTTTACATGTTGTGAATAGTTCTGGCTAATTATTTTTACGACCGACCGCCTGCCTGGCATCAACCCTCTTTGGGAATGTATTAATCAGTGATGTCTAAATACTCTTAGAAAGTTCGTATGACTCGGAAAATCACATTGGTACTTGCCAGGATCGAACCCGCGCCCTCATGCATGAGAGTCGGGCCCTTTAACCACTAGACCACCGCTGACTTTATTTATATTTTGTTTATTATATAATTTATTCTATATCAATCATCAAATAATATTTCTAATATCTCTGTTTGCAGTTGCATATAATTCTATTAAAATAATCCGCTTAAGAATACTTTAAGCTAGTTTATAGTTATTGATTTTATATGTAGGAGATTCGCTAAGTGACTTATAATAGAGGTTATAGTAAGGCCATTTACTTGATGGTACAATCTAATTTAATATGACCTAGATATAAAAAACTTTCCTAACTAAAAAACATGAGCTCTGTTCGCGTGTCGCGATTGTATTAACATTGTTACAATGTAATGTAAATCAGAGCAAATAAATCGAAGATCATTCAAGCATATACATATGTGTTATAAATTAATACTAATGTGCTTTAACGCCCACATCTACGTATTGATTTGCATTCAATGAACTGCTTTCATATCTTGTTTTTGATATTGTCTGACGTGTTAGAAATTGTCAAATTAATTATGAACATCAAACAAAATATTCACTACTCCTTCAAACAATCTAAATTCATTTTACTTTGAAGGGGCGTGTATAGTAAATTATTTGCTATTTAAAACTTATAGTGTTCATTGAGAACGTATTTGTAAATCCTGCGCTTGATTGAAGCTAAATAAATCGGGAAATTGAAATAGTAAATAGCGTGTACTTTAAAATCTACGGCTTCGTTCCGCCGGCAGATGCATTTGGATACAATTTCCGCAGCTGTCTGACTTGTGGAAACGTCTATTGGGGAATTATCACCATTTCCCTATAACGAGTCTCAATCTGAACTCCTAACTAAATGACAGTGTGGGCGTACACTCATCAACTAGCTACTGAACCTTCAAATAGGTTTCAAATTGTTATTAAAACTTTATATCAATTTATTTTCTTTAAACAAATATTTACATTATTAAATAACTTGAAAATATTCCGCGATAGGAGTAGATTTAAAAAAAAATTATAATTATTATAATGACTACTGATTTCAACTTATGTACGAACGTAAAAGCTTAATATGATCTTTGAGTTGTCACATATGAAATAGTATCTTTTGTCTCCATTTGCTACGGCCACTTCAACAAAGATTATATCAGTCATTTTATATTTTACCTTCATTTTCAATATTTCCTAGTAACTTCATCCGAAGAATGAAAATAATAAAGCTATAAACATTGGAAAGACTTTCCCGGTCAATTGATTCAGTTGAAACCAATATTGTGTTGTCATTGTGCAATACTTGTTTGTTTAAAGATCTCAAGATTTTCTTATTATTGATATTTTCTTGATAAAAAATGTATTAAATATGATAAATATTTATAAATAAAACAAAATTTATTTCTACATTTATAATTACAAAAGAATTCGAAACGTTTCATTTAAATGAAATCTTTTGTTTAATACGTTATTAAACTTTGCATAATTCTGTAAATTATTATAATAATAGTTAATAAATATTTTTTACTGAATGCTTTTTATTCTTTTTTACATATAAACGGATAAGCAAACAATTTATCTTCCCCTCGAACATCGGAAGGAGACGAGCGCTTCTTCCGCAATTCATTCAGCAGTTTATTGCATCAAGCATTAGATATAAAAACATTTAATACAATATTAAAGTTGCATACTTTTACATTAAAAGGAAAGCATATATATTTATTACTTTATTTATTTGCACATACGAATGTTACATAAAATTTGACATTGGTAATCCTAAGATAGATTCTCTATTAGATTAGATTAGATTCTCTATACAAACACAGTAATTATATGATTTTACAATCTTATTGTTGTTATATTATTCAGTTTAGTTCCCAAGTTATATTCTTTATAAAAAAATTATATATTTTTTAAATATCAATAGCCAACTAAGAATGTAAATATAGGGTTTCAAACCAACGAATTGTATTCTCTTAGGAAACTAGTTATAACTGACGAAGTGTCTTCATGTGCTCTAAAAAATATAGTTTTATTAAAGGATAATTAAATATAAGGAAGATAAACTAAACATCTAGCATGCGAATAGAGTTGTTGGTAGTAAATGTTAGAGTTGAAATGAAGCAAGGGCTTTCAGTAAATATATTTTACAATTTTATAATAATATGGTCATACATATAACTTGACCTGATCATTTTTTAACCATAAATGATTATTTAAAAGAGTTTTCCTAAGTAAGACAATATTGTAGAACGGTACTCTTACCAATACAACAGTTCAGCATTGATATATTTTAACACATGATTGTGTAACCTCGGTTCCAATAAGAAAATTCAATTGTATATATCACAATTATATTACTTACTGAATACGGAACCTTATATAAATTACTAAAGTGTAACACAAGTCCACTTTAAATAAAATTATTTATAGAAGCAAATGAAAATATTTTTAATACATTTTGTTAAACATAATTTTACTTCACAATATCTCAGCAATCTCCAGTAGACGCTCTTGCGTTTTCAATCAAACAACAGAAAAGTATTGAATATTAATGGACTATGAGAAAGCGCTCTTTATAGAATACTTCAATTGATATTTATTCTGAATACATTTCATAATATTGCGAAATCATTCTATATTTATAGTTATTGATTATAATTTAAACAATTTAAATGTAAGATGAAATTAGACACCACTAACAGACGGTGAAGGAAAACATCTTGAGGAAACATGGACTTATAATTTCACAATAATAAGTTTGAAATCACCAACCCGTCTTGAGCAAGCGTGGTGATTAATGCGCAAACCTTCTGCATGTGGGAAAGAAGCCTTTGCTCAGCGGTGAGCTCGGCTAGGCTGAAAAAAAAAACATGAAATTCGTAGAGAAAATTCGAATCAGAATGATCAATTAAATGAGTACGAATGTGGACATTTAGTTTTATTTAACTTTATAAGATGTCTCTAACGACTAAACACAATGTAAAGACGAACATACTAATGTAATACTTCTACAGTTAACACCAGTTATAATAGTACTGAGATAAAGTGTCGTTGAAGCCTATAAGAAGTTTCAACGTTTCTCAATTTTAATAAAATAATGACATACTATGAAAAATATTATGTATTTATTGTTTATAAACAATCCTACATTTTTTGTGTATCCGATCTTAGTGAACTTCAAAACTAATGTAAAATTGTTAATAGAATGCTAATGAATAAAATATATTAGAGCGGGAATGGAGCCATGTCAGCAATTTGTGTTATAATATTATCACGTATAATATTATAACTTAGGACGTGTCTAAAAAACTATTAATATGTAGTAGTCTCTACTCTTACCTCAAGTCTGCAAGTCACACTATACGTTTCGTTTCCAGTTTTCCATTCATAAATCTAAGCACGTTATAATATTATCAAGGTTTACGAGTGCGTAAGTAGAAACATATCGTTTGAAGTGAGACGATACAAACTTGTAGTAAGTACCAATTGAATTTTATATACAACTAGTTTTTGGCCGCGACATCGTTTGCATTAATTAAGGAATAAGTAACAACTCTTAGCGTAAATAACCAAATATTGTAGTTTATTAAGTTTTTTTTCTGTTTGATCTAGCAGAATCAAATGTCCTATGTCCGTCTTCTAGTTCTAAGCTATATACTATATATATCTCTACCCATTTTCAACCACATCCCTACAGCCGTTCTGGAGTTATAAATAGTGTAACTAACACAACTTTCTTTTATATATATATGTAAGATATTATATATCTATGGTGTAAGCTCCTCGTTAATATTTATTAGGATGTAATTCTTATCATGAATATTATAATTGTCTCCTCTATATCAGATTATAGCACTTTAAATTCGTAAAATGATATTCCTTTAAACTATGACGACCTTGAAATTAGGCACGATTTGATTCCAAGGACACGTTAGCCATGAAGTTGGCAATTTAACTCATTAAGACTTAGTGAAATTTACCTATTAGATTAACAATGAATCTCTAATCAAATGTTATCTAGGTTACACAAAAGGCCTAACTAAATAAAATATTTTCATCATCATCAGCCTATCAGAGCCCACT